CTTTAAGGATTTGGGGCGATATTCCACCATTCCATGATTCCATTCTTACATCGTTCAATGTTGTTTTGGCGGAATTTTATCATCAGCTCCAGGGGGAGCTGGCAGCGAGGTCTGGAACCAAGTTTACATGATCGCCCCAGTTAAGAAATTCGGCCGAGTGAGACTGAGTACAAATTTTCCTTGAAAACAAATATGGCGGAGAATGCAGAAAGGACGATGAGTTTTTGCTCGGTTTTAAGTTTTCCCGCGTACAAATATCAAGAAAAGGTTTCTATGAACTTTTTTAATGGACCTTTTGGACGTCAGAAGGCGTGATCTATGAACAGTTCATGGGTGACTTCACTTATCGTGATTCGTGATCTCGGCAAGTTCAGTTATTATTATTAAAGCTTTTCGTGAATTTTCGAGCGACCATCTTGCTCCATCTCTTATATTTTTCCCCTTATAGTGGTATTAAGACTCTCTTCCTTATCTTAAACATATGCTACCAGCACGATATATAGGTATGAGTCTTGCAACAATCCTACGTGAATGTTCATTAAACCACTGATTTTCTACTTCACTGTTCATGAGTTTGTTTGTACACCGGGAGGCACAACAAATGTTTATAGGCGTAAATACAGAATACAGAGCCAATTTAATAAAAACCAGGGTAAATGTTCCAATCACTTTGCTTCACATGTAAGCTATTTTTAATATCAGAAGGCTGGGAGGGGTTTACTGAACCTTCAAAACCTTCACTGGAATGTTATTGGAGTGATAATCAATAAATTTCCAACAGCAATACTGTATTTAGTAGTTTTGTATTAGATAGTGACTTCGGTTTCAAGTATTTCCTTGAAATTGTTGGTACAAAAATTACCCTTTAGTTATGAATTATACTTGAAATGATTATAGTGGTTTAGTGTAAGAACAAGAGGCTAATTCAGTTGCTAGTAAGGGTGAGTACATCAGGAAAGAGTATGCGTTGAGAAAATCCCTCAAAGGACCGAAGTACAAGAAACAGAAAAAAACTGAATGTTTTGCAAAGTTTATAAGGAGAATCAGAAGAGGCTTGAAAAATATACAACTTAAGTTTATTGTTTGTGTAAGTTATGAATCTGATTTACAACTAAATTATACAAGGTAAAATTGATTTTTTATCAACCACCAAAAGAAGTTATTGTCGGGCTTGAACCCAATCCTCTCAGCAGTTCTTTCTACGATACTAGCCTTGGCTTATTTGGCCTTGATGGGTATGTGCTGCTGATTTAGGGTGGTGACCATTTCACCCTTTGGAGTTTTGAACAAGGTGTCTGTTTGGGTTGTGAAGGTTGAAGAAGAAGTGGCCTATAGAGTACAGTATATTGGTACCACCATTTTCCCCCCAAGTTTTGCCATGTTTCAAAGTTTAAAAGCTACCTTACTTCTGTATGCTAATTAAAAAGGAAATGAATCAGGATTATAAAATAAGGTCTCTTGGCTTAAAAAGGGTAGGGAAATGCACAATGTGTCCTACTACCCATACTCTCTTTCAGTGTAAGCCCAGGGAGGTGATCTCATATTTAATTCCCTTTTACCGCTTGCTGTAACAGCAACGTCAGTGAAGGTTTATGGTCTCTGAAAAATATTTTTGCCAGCCTCAAAACAAGTTTCTAACTGCTATTGTTGACTGCAAATAATATTATCTTAATAATCATTTTACATTTTTTTTCCAAGGCATCCTATGGTGTTTTCAATATCCACTAGTACAAGGCAATTTTTAAGTTGAGAGGGTTTACTTTGATTTCATTAACAGTAAACTACATTTTAACACAGACACAAACTAACCTGGCAGGTTGATGTCCAAAGGTGTAAACCATTACATGCAACTATATGGCAAAAACTGATCACAGTGGCCAAAGGAAAAGCAAAAATAGAAATGTCATCATTTTTTAAATTTTATAAATTCCCTGCCTTTGAAGCATATTTAGCCAGATGTAGTCCTTGTCAAAACATGCAAACTTGAACATTTATTTTCTGACCTTAGCTAATCTTTTTTAAACCATACTCTTGTTCCAGTGGGTAGTGTAGTTTTTGGAATAAAATATTTATAATTTCTCCCTCTTTGTTTGCAACAAAACAAAACACAATTGAATGAGGACTCAAACTGAAGGCAGTGTAGTAACTGCTGTCACGAAAAGAGAATTCCAAACACACGAAACAATTACCCTTTCATTTGCCTATATTCATTTCTTAGAAACTACGGTAAAGTTTAAATTAAATCACACGAAGATAAGAACATAAGCATATCAAGAGTGAATGATCTCTTGGCAAAATTTATTTAGCTTCTAGTACATAACAAAATGCATGAACTACGAGATTTGACCATGACTCTCAATCATCCAACGCAACTCTGCCACGATAAGTTCACAATCAAGGATGAGGAATTAAGAATCTCAAACATCATTTCTTAATTAAAGGTGTAATAAAACCGTAAACAACTCTGACAACTCTTCTACTTGACCACGGCCACCGCGCTTTTTTTAATATCACGAAGGATTAATTTTCGGCCTTTCACTTGAAAATATAAACTCTCCTACATACGCATTGGAGGGTTGGCCCCTTGTTCTAGTCTTGTGGGTCTTCTAAACAGAAACACATGCAGCTTGAAAGCCTGTAGTGAGCCAAAAGGTCGGACATCGAGGAACATGTACAATGACCGTTCACTAGTCTCGTTGTTAGCGTAGTAAACCGCATGTAATGACAAACGCAAGACCAGAAGAAAGGAAAACGTAAGCACATTGTTGCCAAAAAAATCGGTTACAGCAAAGAAAGCAGTGACCAACAGGACCAAAAACAAATTCACTTCGCACTGTCGAATCGCTGCGAAGACGAACTTCTTGATGTTGTTGTTGTTCCTAACCCGGTTCGCGCATGCTTGCTACAGTTCTCGAATGATTGACAGATTTCTTAACTGGGGCGATCATGGAAAGTAGAAAAGCGGCAGGATCAAAGGCCGTTGCCAGCCCCCCCTGATCAGCTCTAACTCTCTCCGAATACTTGGGCCCAGGCTCCTTTTATGGGGGAGCGTCACCTTGTAAGGTTGTAAGGGCCCTTACACGAGCCCTTACACTGAAAACCTATTCGTAATTCGTGACTCATTTGGAAACAATACCAGAAAACAAACAAGAAAAATTAATAAATTTGAACTACTTTTTATTCTTGTTATGATGACTGGTTCTTTGATTCTTGTCCTGTAGAAGCTAATAGGTAGTACCGATCCTGTTTTGTATGATCTCAACAAATTTTCACACTCTCTGTAAGGCTATTTTTACACGGGACCAGTTTGCTTCTATCAAAAATCTTGCAAGCCATGCCAGTGAAGCCACGACCTCTGCGCTCAGTCCGGTTTCAGTTCAAACACCCCAATGATTCCTTGCAATGAATAATGCTCTTATTCTCTTACATGAAATGTTTTCTTTGATATTAAATGTGAAACCTAGACGAGTACTGTAAGCTCATCTTTAATACTGTACGTCGACTCCGTCCGTTGTTTTGAAAATTTTTGAGCACTGGGGCGATGTTTTCATTTGTTTGTTGATAAACACAAGCGCGCCTTCTCATTGGTTGAAAAGGGTCGCGTGACCAGTTGGCCCTGTCCTTAAATTTAGGGATATTCCGGACTGTTAAAGTTCTGTAAGCTTATATCAAACCTGATACTCGGTCAGATCATTGTCTCAAATCTTACAAACGTGCATAAACTAAATGACCGCATAAATTCCGCTCGACTTCATTAAATTAGATCCAAAAAAACAAACATCAAATACAATAATTTCTCTGGCTTACCATTTGAGATGCAGCTCCTGAAAGGTATCAAGAAAAGCCAGTATCGCTTCAGACTTTGCAATCCTCTTACGCATCAAGCAAGGTGAAAACGAAAACGATGCCATCCGAAATCGGATTTCCGACTTTGACAAGCGACGTATTCCTCAACCAAAAACCCAATAAACAAACTAGCCATGAATAACAGAGGACTCCTGATAGCAGCTGAATTTCATTTTGCACATCCAGTGGAAAAAGACAGTTAAAAACATCACAAGTTGACACAAAACTCTGTCAGCTTCAGCTGTCAAAGTAAACAAGATTCAAGATGCTGCATAAATTTTGCGCATGAACTCACCTGTCAAATTTTGACCAATCAGAGCATAAAAATTGGACGTAGAGCGTGACCAACGCGTGACCATGGTGAGAAAAGTCAAAAGCAACTGTCTTCCCTGCCTGTAACAGCTGGCTGAATTTTCGCGTCCGAGGTCAGTTTGCAATCAAAATTTTAATTGTGTAGCACATAAACACAACATATTTCATATGAATTTAGAAAAAACTTGAACTTGAGCCTGCTATCACTTGAAAACTAGTAACTTGTCAGCGGATAACTTCAAAAAAATACTTGACCTCGATGGGTCGACACCTGAGCCCGCGATACGGTCAAGTGATACTGGTCAGCGGGTACCCTGTTTTGACAGCTGTCAATTGATCAAAACATTAATGTCCAATATGTGTGCATTATCAGTTTAACTAGTAAAAGTATGAGATTGAACATTGTTCGCGATCTAGTAAAACAATTAACTGGTCAGCGGACAGCTTCCAAATAAATCACGTCACCTCGATGAGTTGAAACATGAGCCCGCGATATGGTCATGGGATACTGGTCAGTGGCTATCCTCTTTTGACAGCTGTCAATTGACCATATTGTGAATGTCCTAAAATATCCTATATTAAAGATGTGGACTTGCCAAGACACGCCTGAGACACCCCTATTTATAGCCCCGCTATAAATAGCTTTTGCCTCTAGTATAGATGATTGACACTTTACTACTAAGGCGCGTCAGAGGCTTTAATAGAATACTGCTCTGGGATTGGTTCGAAGGGTCTTTGATTCCGAGAAAAGCTAAAGATAGAAACGTCACAAGACTTGATTGTTGAGTGTAGACCAGACTCTGCGACACAAAAGGTCATTTCTTTGTTATTTTGAAGAAGACATGGATCTCAAAACTCTATTTCACAATCTTCGCGAAGAAGTGTCTTGTTCGGTGTGTTCGGACTTATTCACGGATCCTAAACAACTCTCCTGTCTGCACAGTTTTTGCTTAAAATGTGTAAAACAGTGGTACGAGACGTGCGGGGGCGGAGACGCCATTAAATGCCCCAAATGCCAAACGCTAAGCAGAATACCAGCAAGCGGTGATCTTAAAGATCTTCCAACAAGCTTCTATTTGAACGGCTTTATCGATGTTCTTGCCATCAAAGAATGCAAGAACACTCAACTAACATGTGGAAACTGTGACAAGAAGAGCTCGGAAGCGTCGTATTGTTTCCAGTGTTGCATATTTTATTGTGAAGAATGCTTAATGTTTCATAGTAAAATGCGAGACAAAACGGGACACCGTGCTTTGGCAGTAAAGGAATTCCAAGATAAAGACTTTGAGGATGTATTGAAGCGACCAGTATTTTGTTCAAGACAAGGACACCAGAAAGAAGAGCTGAAATACTACTGCAAAGAATGCGAAACAGCTCTTTGCCAAACTTGCGTCACTTTGGATCACGGAGGTCATGTTTTGAAATTAATCGATGAAGAAGCCGAAACCAAAAGACTTGAGATCAAATCTGTAATCGAAAGGCAGAGAAAAAATTTAGAAGCAAAAATGAACATAGTAAGTCAACTGGATGAAGATTGTGCTAAAGTTTTTCAACAAAGCGAAGTATTAAAAAGAGACGTTCAAAGGTTTGCTGAAAACTTGATCAGAACAATTCAAGCAAAAATGCAAAATATAATCACTACAGTGGAAGGCCGAACTAAGAAGTCCATTGAAAGTTTGACATCAAAAAGGAACAAAATACAGCAACAAATTAATGTTATTGAATCATCGCTAGAAGAAGCTGATAAACTCTTTCAGAGAAGTACCAACGCTGAGGTTGTTCAGCTTAAAAAAACATTGCAAACAATTTTTAAGGAAGCGGATCAGGCTGAGGATATTGCTCAAGACCCCGAAACTCAAGAAGCTTTAGCATTTATTAAAAATCAGAAAATGCTTGATGTTGTGAACGGAGAAGAAATTGGATCCATAAAAAAACCCCATCGGACAAAATCAAGCGAATCTGTGGCTGAAGGCGAAGGACTGATGGAAGGAATTGTAGCGCGCAAAGCTCGATTCAATTTGATCACAAGAAACGCAGAGAGGAAGCAGTGGTATGATGAACACGACCGTGTCACGGTAGAGTTGAAGGACGAGCAAGAACGAGAATGTGTAACGGAAGTGAAAGTAGAGGACATGAAAGACGGTACCTACCATGTTAGTTTTTATCCCACAGTTCAAGGTACATTCAAATTGTACGTTAAAGTAAATGAGGAAAATATAAGTGGAAGCCCTTTTAAAACAAGCGTAAAACCATTTCATGTAAAACCTGTTTTATCTTTTGGAGAGAAAGGCTCGGGTGATGGAATGTTTAAGTATCCTAAAGGGGTGGCAGTGACTGACAAAGACGAAATAGTAGTAGCTGACCAGTTAAACGATCGTGTTCAAGTGTTTGATAGTAATGGTACTTTTTTAAGATTCTTTGGTCACCAAGGTGAAAATGCTGGAGAGTTCAAACACCCTTTTGGAATAGCCATTAATAAGGACAAGAATATTTTTGTAGCAGACAGCGCTAACCACAGAATACAGATTCTTAGTTGGAAGGGGAGGCACCTGCATTCATTTGGCGGCCAAGGAAGCCTTGATAGTCAGCTCTCTCGTCCTTGGGGTTTATCCTTAGATAGTACTGGTAATGTTATTGTTGCTGATGCAGGTAACAAACTGATTAAGATCTTTACCCCGGATGGTAGGTTTGTAATGAAAATAGGTGGACAGGGTTCTTTGAGTTATCCTGTTCACTGTGTTCAGTGTGGTGAATATTTCATAGTGTCAGACCGAGGTGAACACTGTATCAAAGTATTTAACAGGGAGCGGCATTTTCACTACAAGTTTGGTAAGCGGGGGGAGGGGGACGGGGAGTTTAATTGTCCCTCTTATTTGTTTGTGAATGAGTCACAGCATCTGTTTGTCTGTGATGAAGGGAATCATAGAGTTCAAGTCTTTGAACTTAACGGAAAATTCATCGGGAAGTTTGGAACAAAAGGCAGCAAGTTAAGAGAGTTTATTGAACCCATATCAGTGGAGATGCTTAGTAATGGCCAAATTGTTGTGTGTGATAAAGATAATCATCGAATTCAAAAATTTGAATAGAAAAATGGATAAAATTCCTGAAATTATTAGTATAGGCATGTTATTCTCTAAATATTCAAGCTAAGATAAGTTAGACCACATATTAACTGTTAACATTGTTTAGTAAGACTTAAAGAACTCTGACTACCAGCCTCTGGATTTTTCTTCCAGACACTTTTGACCGTTTATAAAATTTTGCTTGGCCATAGAAGGGAAAGCTAGGGAACAAAACTTAGTTCAAGTATTGACTAAAATATGTTTAATTCTTGCAGTCTGCTACGATAATGTTGACAAAAGTCAGTTAAGATGTTAAAAAATGTTTTCTTTTTGTTTACCGTTCCTGTTGGGAGGGCCAGTGTCATTTTGTTTTACTTTTTTGTCAATGGCAGACGAATAATATGGGCCAGGTGTTGTGTAAAATTAAATGGCCACTTTGTAACATAAATATTTTCGGGTTTCAGTGGCTAAGACCACGTTTTGAAACCGCATATATATATATTTTTTAACACAAATCGGCCTCCTGTCCACACGAAGCCAGTGAACACAGACACCGAAACCGCATTGTTCTAAAACCACTCTCCAAAGCGGTTTATGGCTCAATCCACACGAATCCCGATAAAAAATATGCGGTTTCAAAAATGTCCAGATTCGTGTGGACGGGGCCTAAGATAAAACTGGATTCTATCGTGAAAAATAACCCGCGAACATTTTCTTGACGCGCCTTTTAGAAAAAACTGGTATGACGTACAAAATTTTTTACAGTGTGAGGCTTATTTTCATGTCGTTGGTGATCTTCAAGGAAGTTATTAATTCCTGATAAATTTTAGCACTTGTTTTTACCAAAATAAAACACAATAATCTCGCCACTGCCCTTTATTCGCAGATTAATTTTACAAGTGTACAAGGTGTATAAACTATGAAATAAAATAAAATTAGTTTCATTGTTGTTTGTTGTCTTATAAGTTAGGTTGTATAGTTTCAAATACGTTGACAGTTGGTTTACTTGATACTACATGTCCAAAACAACTTCTATCTTGAATTTTAACGAAATATTAAAAAAAGGGGGCAATTGGTACAAACGTACAACGTCCACAATAATGTTGAACGGTCACTATATTTTGAGAAACCTAGTGAGCTATATCAGATTATTAAACATTGTTGTTCAAATATCTTTCTTATCCACTGCATTTGTTTTGGGGAACCTCTCGGGGCAGCAGTTTTTGAGCTGATGATTATGTACTGCCTGCTTGCTCGAGCACGCATGCGCATGATAAAGCTCAGGGTCCAAGACTAAGTGGCATGGAAGCGCAGGCCCAAGAAGTTAGGCGTTGGCTCAAATCGCTTTTCTTACTTTCTTTCCCGAATCAAGCGTGACTCTTATTGTTAAGGGCAGTGAATTTTTCTGTAAAACCAATCACCCAACAATTTCTCCATTTTTTTCGTATCTTCTTCCCCGCGCCCGTATCGGAATTTCAAAAAATCTAACTTTTTGAGTACACTAGGGAACTCTTGGAGAAAGGCCAGAACCAGCAACAAACTCAACGCTCATATATATATATCGTCACTTCCGGAATTCGAGTCCAGGCCACGTTGATAGGTGGTGATAGCTGTAGCCCCTTTCTTCGCTCTAAATCTGTTATTCACGCTTTTTCTCCACTATAATGAGCCTAGTCCTAGGCTACGAGCCAATGACCAGCAACACCCTTTTCCCCCACACACGAACAATCTCGACTGGAATGAGTCTCGGGCTAAAGATTTCCGTCGCCCGAAAGTGCGTTGGACTTTACGTTACTCAACATTCATAAGCCAGAGGTTTACCTCAGGGCTTATTAGGAATCAATGCGCATGCCACCAGTTAACACAAAAAGCGTAATGCAAAAAAAAGGCATTCCCCACCCGCCCGCTTGGGGTGGTGCGAAAAAAAAGTGACCATAAAAGGGTTTAACTACGTGATACTGTTTTTAAGAGTGCATTCGACAAACATCTTCAGCACTGTTAAGTTCTTATTAAGTTGTCTGTTCCAGCATGGTCTCCTTTTCTGAAGGTCAACTATAGTCTTAGTCAATTGCCTTACTCACCGTTAGAGGTTTGATTTAATTTCCCAACCAGTGGCATCCCCGTCTCTTTCTCACTTTCTCAAAGGCTGGAGTTTACCCGCCAAATTGAGTGAAGATAACCGTAAGAAAATTGTCTTCAGTTTCTTGCTCTTTTTTCCCAGCTGAAAACTTTTCCCGCTTCTCCGTTCTTCAATCTCGTACCTCGAGTCTTCGTTCCGTACTGCGCATGCTCCCGACCGCTGGTCAAGGGGAACGAAAACGCCGGGTACGAGTGTGGCGTATCTTCCAAAAGCGTTGCGACTTGATGAGCATGCGCGCGAGTCATGGCCATGCTCCTTCAAAATCGCAAATACATTTTTAACGTAACTGATGTAGTGTTATCAAATGGCATTATAGTCATACCGTAAAATCCGAAAATAAGCCCTCCATATATAAGCCACCCAATCTGGTAACGCAAAAAACCCTCCGTAAAATCACCCCTCCAAATATAAGCGCCTCGGGGGCTTGTGCTTGGAAAATTGCCCTCAAATGCAAAGTAAAACAAAGCAAAAACGGTAAATTTACTTCCAACTATAAAGCTAGCCCAATCGATTTTGAAACGCAATTTTCCCTCCGTAGATATAAGCCCCTCCAAAAATAAGTTTCTCAAAAAGGGCCTTTCAAACATGTAAGCCCCGGGGCTTATTCTCGAAATTTTACGGTATATAGGTTAAATCAGATCCCTTCAGTGAACATTGTTTTGAATGTGCCCAGATAATTTTAAACATCGTTTATTTAGTCATACCGTAAAATCCGAAAATAAACCCTCCATATATAAGCCACCCAATCTGGTAACGCAAAAAACCCTCCGTAAAATCACCCCTCCAAATACAAGCGCCTCGGGGGCTTGTGCTTGGAAAATTGCCCTCAAATGCAAAGTAAAACAAAGCAAAAACGGTAAATTTACTTCCAACTATAAAGCTAGCCCAATCGATTTTGAAACGCAATTTTCCCTCCGTAGATATAAGCCCCTCCAAAAATAAGTTTCTCAAAAAGGGCCTTTCAAACATGTAAGCCCCGGGGCTTATTCTCGAAATTTTACGGTATATAGGTTAAATCAGATCCCTTCAGTGAACATTGTTTTGAATGTGCCCAGATAATTTTAAACATCGTTTATTTAGTCATACCGTAAAATCCGAAAATAAACCCTCCATATATAAGCCACCCAATCTGGTAACGCAAAAAACCCTCCGTAAAATCACCCCTCCAAATACAAGCGCCTCGGGGGCTTGTGCTTGGAAAATTGCCCTCAAATGCAAAGTAAAACAAAGCAAAAACGGTAAATTTACTTCCAACTATAAAGCTAGCCCAATCGATTTTGAAACGCAATTTTCCCTCCGTAGATATAAGCCCCTCCAAAAATAAGTTCCTCAAAAAGGGCCTTTCAAACATGTAAGCCCCGGGGCTTATTCTCGAAATTTTACGGTATATAGGTTAAATCAGATCCCTTCAGTGAACATTGTTTTGAATGTGCCCAGATAATTTTAAACATCGTTTATTCACACATCCCATTTGTCACCTAAGACTGTAGTTTGAAGAATACGCTGTTAACATTGTCTTTAAATGAACAAATCGCTATATTAAAATTGGGATGAAAGCACGATAATAAAGAGAAATTCAGCTAGAAAGATGCATTTTTTATCCGTACAAGGTTGCTTGTTCTATTGACGTAAATGTGGTTTTCACGCTCTCATGCTTAATAAAGTCTATTGAATCATGTTATCGAACAGACAAAAGCGCATCAGGGGCTCTTACACAGTAACGTTCTGTGATTGGCTCAAAGGCCTATGATTCCGTAAAAAGCTAACGATAGAAATGTCACAATACTTGATTATGTTGGATGTAGACTCCAAGACTCAAAAGGTCATTTCTAAATTGTTTTTGAAGAAAGCATGGAACTTACAACGCTGTTTTACAATCTTCGCGAAGAAGTGTCTTGCTCTGTGTGCTCGGACATATTTACGGATCCTAAACATCTCTCCTGTCTGCACAGTTTCTGCTTAAAGTGTTTGGTGCGATGGTACGAAACCCGCGGCGGAGGAGAGGCCATTAAATGCCCCAAATGCCAAACGCTAAGCAGAATACCAGCAAGCGGTGATCTTAAAGATCTTCCAACAAGCTTTTATTTGAATGGCTTTATCGATGTTCTTGCCATCAAAGAATGTAAGAAGACTCAGGTGACATGTGCAAACTGCAACAAGAAGAGCGCGGAAGTGTCATATTGCTTCCAATGTTGCATATTTTATTGCGAAGAATGCTTAATTGGACACAATATCATGCGAGATAACAAAGAACACCGCGTATTGGCGGTACAAAGGTTCCAAGAAAAGGACTTCGAGGATGTATTGAAGCGACCGGTATTTTGTTCAAAACAGGGACACCAGAAAGAAGAGCTCAAATTCTACTGCAAAGAATGCGAAACAGCTCTTTGCCAAACTTGCGTCATTTTGGATCACGGAGGTCATGTTTTAAAATTGATCGAAGAAGAATCCGAAACCAAAAGACTTGAGATCAAATCTGTAATCGAAACGCAGAGACAAAATTTAGAAGCAAAAATAAACATAGCAAGTCAACTGGATGAAAAGTGTGCTAAAGTGATTCAACAAAGCGAAGTCGTAAAAAGAGATGTCCAAAGGTTTGCTGATAACTTGATCAAAACAATTCAAGCAAAAATGCAAATTACAATCACTACGGTGGAAGACCAAACTAAGAAGTCTATTGAACGTTTGACAGCAAAAAGGGACGAGATTCAGCAACAAATTAATGTTATTGAATCATCGTTAGAAGAAGCTAATAAACTCTTTCAGAGAAGCACCAACGCTGAAGTTGTCCAGCTTAAAAAAATATTGCAAACAATTTTTGAGGGGGTAGATTCGGTTGAGGCTATTGCGGCTCATGACCCTGGAACTCAAGCTGTACTGTTCATGAAAAATCAGAAAATGCTCGATGTTGTCAATGGCGAAGAAATCGGATTCTTGGGAAAACCTTATCAGACAAAAGCAAGTGAATCTCTAACTGAAGGCAAACGAATGAAAGAAGGAACTGTGGGGCGTAAAGCTCAATTCAATTTGATCACAAGAAACTCAGAGAGAATGCAGGGGTACGATGAGCGGGACCGTGTAACGGTAGAGTTTAAGGACGAGCAAGGACAAGAATGCGTGACGGAAGTGAAAGTAGAGGACATAAAAGACGGTACCTACAATGTTAGTTTTTATCCCGCAGTTCAAGGTATATTAAAATTGCATGTTAAAGTAAACGAGGAACAAACTTGTGGGAGCCCTTTTACAATAAGCGTAAAACCATTTCATGTAAAACCTGGTTTATGTTTCGGAGAGAAAGGCACCGGTGATGCAATGTTTGATTATCCTCGAGGTGTGGCAGTGACTGACAAAGACGAAATCGTAGTAGCTGACCAGTGCAACCATCGGGTTCAATTGTTTAAAGGTAATGGTACCTTCTTAAGATCTTTTGGTCACAAAGGTAAAAATTCTGGAGAGTTCAACCGACCTGATGGACTAGCCATTGATAAGGATGGAAACATTTTCGTAGCAGATAGCGGTAACCATAGAGTGCAAATCTTTAGCAGGGAGGGGAGGCACCTGGGTTCATTTGGAAGCATAGTAAGCCTTGATAGTAAGCTCCTTGAACCTTCGGGTATATCCTTAGATAGTAATGGTAATATTATTGTTGCTGACACAGGTGACAAGCTGATTAAGATCTTTACCCCGAAGGGTAGGTTTGTAATGAAGATAGGTGGGCAGGGTTCTTTAAGTGACCCTGTTCACTGTGTTCAGTGTGGTGAATATTTCATAGTGTCAGACCGAGGTGAACACTGTATCAAAGTATTTAACAGGGAGGGGCATTTTCAGTACAAGTTTGGTAAGGAGGGGAAAGGGGACGGGGAATTTAATTGTCCCGCTTATTTGTTAGTGAATGAGTTACAGCATCTGTTTGTCTGCGATCGTGAGAATCATAGAGTTCAAATCGTTGAACTTAACGGAAAATTCATCGGGAAGTTTGGAGCAAAAGGCAGCAAGTTAGGAGAATTCAATAGACCCTTGTCACTGGCAATGCTTAGTAATGGCCGAATTGTCGTGTGTGATGAATTTAATCATCAAATTCAAATATTTGAATGAATAGTGGCTATATTTCCTGAACATATTGGCATAAGCATTTAATTCTCCAAATATTAATCTAAATATCCAAGGTAAATTACAGTCAGACCTCTCCTTACGGACACCTCTCTATTACGGACAGTTCGTTTGGTCCCAGAAATGCCAAAAATCATACATTACCTACCTTTACAATAGGGACACCTCTGTAGAGCGGACACTTGGTTCTGTCCCTTTGGTGTTCGTATTAAAGAGGTTTGACTGTAGTCAGTTAGTCCACATTCGTCGATATTATTTTTGAGAGACTTAAAACATTTAGTCCACAAACTGTACTTTAAACCGTTTATATAATTTTGTTTTGCCATAGGAGGGAAAACTAGGGAGACATTAACATCAAGTGCTAAAAGACTGTGTTGAGTTAAGTTTGCAAGCTCTTTTCGGTCGTTTTTTTGTGACCTATACTTTCCGACTAGTCTAGTCTAGTCTAGTCATAAATATGTTTTTTTTGCAGTTCATCAAGTGCTGGAAGCGCCAGTGCCATTTTTTTAATTTACTTTTTTTATCAATGAGACATGAAAAGCATGGACCAGGTTTGATGTAAAATGACTGCTGTACAACAAAGGCGCAGTTATGCGTCTAGTTCTACCTCACATTTTGAAAACGTACAGTGCGTATTTTAAAAAAAACCAAGGACCTAAATTAGATTGAACCGTTTGTTGTTCAAAGGTGTGGATGAGGGATTAACCGCTCATGTTCCCCCTTACAAAAGTCGGTTAAGCTATAACCTTGCTCTTGCTTTACAACTGAGCAAAAAGAAGGAAAATAATAAACTAAAGCACAGAGTTCAGTGCATCTTGTAAAGCAGATACAATAAAAAACTAGTTGTGCATGTCAGTGGAGATCCTTGAGGGAATTCAAATTTCCAATGTAATTTTCTGGGTAATTTAACAAAAAATAACAATAATCGTAATTCACCTTATTTTGTATAGATAAATGTGTAGAAAAATATAATTATAAAAGAAAAAAACACACTTATCCCTTTGAGAAACTATGACATTGCAGTTCAGAAAATATTATTAAAATTCTTTGTTATGATAAGGTTTTTCTCTGGTCTGTTTGCTGGTAGTCTCCAGGTGAGGCGTGAAATTTCGAGCTCGCGCGTAGAAGGCCATTTACTGACGACGCCATACATTTATCATAATTCAGTTCACTTTTGCATTTCTTATTTACCAATTCGAGGAAGAAAACAAAATTGAAAGATTTTGGTTGTTGTAATATGGAAAAAAAATGACGTCATGGTGCAATTGTCATCTTATGTACAACTTAAAAGGGCTTGATAGCAATTAGCTGAAATAGTAAAACCGTATTTGATATGCCACCTGACTGATGCCGGGGCTAGCGCGACACGGTTGTCCAGGGCTAACTAGCCTGGTACCAGGCTTCTTGTGGGGAAATTCGCCTCTTACTTTGCGCTTGCCCCCATGTCCCAGGCTAACTCCGCGGTATGGCCAGTACCTTACGCATGCGCCCAGCCATATAACTCGGGAAGTGGCCATTCTCGTCCCCAGAGCCCGTCGTTTCTTGGTCAAATCAAGCCGAGTGGCTCTGGAGACGAGAAAGGGAAGTGGCGGCCATGGAGGGAGAGCTGTTTCGCCCTCATTGCGACTCATCATCATGGCCCAATGAACACGGCTTTGATCTTACAGGGGCCCGAAGGCTATGCCATACTGATGAGCCTTAACGAGAAGCACAAGAGCTGTCCATGGTTACCACTGCTCGGTTGATAATTGTTAGGGAGAAAATTCAAGTTATTACTATTTATAATTTAAATACGGGTTTTTGCTGTAATTTAATGACTTTTAAAGTTTAAGCTTTCGAATTTTCCCTTAACTTTTATCGTTGCTCTTTTCGCTTCGACAAGAAGATTTTTATGAGACACAATTAGCCGCATCCCTATCTTTTTCTCAAGCCTCTGGAGTCCGACCCGTCTCATTGCGTAAAGATGACCGTAAGAAAATCGATTAAATTTTCTTCCTCTCCCTTCTTCCACTGTATTATAGTCCGCCTCAATCTGCTCCTCGGCATTTCCCCCGACACGTATAAATGCGCCGTCCTCAGTAATTCACTTTTTCCTGCGCCTGACGTAAAAGAGGGCAAACGTTGCACCCAGATCTCCTGGTTGCACCTTAATGAGCATGTGCGCGCGTAGTGTCCATGCTCCAAGCACCAAGTATAGTCATTCCACTCAGTAAACACTTTTAAAACGTAACGTAATTTGAATGTGCCTCTATATTTATTTTTTCTTCTTTGGTGACAAATCTCGTTTCTTACCGAAGACTTTGGTTCGAACAATACATTGTTAACTCCGGGTGTTAAGAAAAAACAACTGCATTATATTACAAGCACGACAACAGAGAAAAACTTAACCAGAGAGATATCATTATTCAGTTCACGGTGGCTTGTTTCATTGCACTCTTAGCCTGAGTATCAGGCCTTCCTAAGGGGCTAGGGGAGAGGAGATTTGAGATGGAGGAGGGGGGAGGGGGAGAAGAGAAAGGAAGGCCTGACCCAAAGCCATTCAGCAAATCGTGTGACACAACCAAAATCTGGATGTGGCAGTGATTGGATAACACACAATACCCCCTGACGTCACCGACCGCAAGAGCGATCGGCAAGACGCCATTGACATTTTTCATAGATGCTTTGAAAGCTCTAGAGGGCGCTCTCAAGTTCTTTCCTGGAATAAAAATAAAACCCGAGCAAGAATTGTGTTTTCAAGGCCTCGTATATGTAGTTTAAAAGAAAGATGTACTTGGAGTATGGAAAAGCCTCATATACCAGCTTCTGCCGAAACTATGACCGAGTATTGGTTTCACAAGACCGGGACAAAGACGACGATTTCAGTGTTTCAGATATCTAAGTTCTGATTTACAACATCCTGCCGTTAAAAGGGTATTGTTACTGTAAATGGAAGTAGAGCGAGGTAGCCATGTATTGAGATAGCCGACAGCACCATTGCTTTTAAAAAGCTTGACTTTGCTAGTGGCGGTTACGATAGCGTACGTGATTGGAATTCGTTCGCTTCCTCTTCCAAAATTTTCTCACTTTTGAAATGTCTTAAGCTCAAGCGGGCGCCATCATATTTCGCCAACGGGATTGACCTTTGCTAAGGCCCTCACTTTTTTTCAACTTGTAACAGCTTTCACGGGCTCTCTGTGAAGTGGTGGAATTTGCTGCTGCTTAATAATTTCTAGGCATAGGTGTTTCACCATCGCACCTTCCTATTTATTCTTGCAGCTTCTTTCAACCACCCAAGGATACGAGGGATAACATCAGCTTTTTAGCTGCCAGACAAGCGCCTGATATAACTCTGTAAACAAAAGTAATTTACAATTTTCCGGGGCACGTTCATTTACAAACAGAGCGTTGGCGATCTTATACTAGCACAATTTTTAAAACACGTTATAATTCCTGTTATGTTTTAAATTACAAGTATTCGAAAACTCCTCATTGGAGGTTTAAAAAAAAGCGAAATCACAAACACCAGACCTCGGCCAAACCGTAAAGTGAGATTTATTTTAGGCGAGCTTTTTGACACGTGAAGCTGACAACCCAATGACCGGAAGTGATTTTGATTGGATGGTGTCGAATCATGCTTTGTAGGGGTGGAAGGCTCCAGTAAAAGCATCTGTGTCAGACGTTTCTCTCCTTCAGCTCTCTCCTTTTTTCGCTTCCATCTTTCCCCTTTTCCCAAGAAACGCCTGATACTCAGGCTACTGCACTCTGCACCCTAAAAAGTAGTTTACATCTTTAAGAGCTGTGGTTTTCACGGTGTTGTGCTTCGTATAAGAGGCCTTTGTGTCTAGATGATTGACACTTCACTACAAAGGCGGGCCAGGGGCTCTAATCCAATATTGCTCTGTGATTGGTTCGAAGGGCCTTTTATTCCGAGAAAAGCTAAAGGTAGAAACGTCACAAGACTTGATTGCTGAGTGTAGATTAGACTCTTGAACAGAAAAGGTCATTTCTCTGTTATTTTGAAGAAGACATGGATCTCAAAACTCTATTTCACAATCTTCGCGAAGAAGTGTCTTTTTCGGTGTGTTCGGACTTGTTCACAGATCCTAAACAGCTCTCCTGTCTGCACAGTTTTTGCTTGAAATGTGTAAATCAGTGGTACGAGACGTGTGGGGGCGGAGACGCCATTAAATGCCCGAAATGCCAAACGCTAAGCAGAATACCAGTAAGCGGTGATCTTAAAGATCTTCCAACAAGCTTTTATCTAAATGGCTTTATCGATGTTCTTGCCATCAAAGAATGCAAGAACACTCAACTAACATGCGGAAACTGTGACAAGAAGAGCTCGGAAGCATCGTATTGTTTTCAGTGTTGCATATTTTATTGCGAAGAATGCTTAATGTTTCATAGTAAAATGCGAGACAAAACTGGACACCGTGCTTTGGCGGTAAGAGAATTCCAAGATAAGGACTTCGAGGATGTATTGAAGCGACCTGTATTTTGTTCAAGACAAGGACATCAGAAAGAAGAGCTTAAATACTACTGCAAAGAATGCGAAACAGCTCTTTGCCAAACTTGCGTCATTTTGTATCACGGAGGTCATGTTTTGAAATTGATCGAAGAAGAATCCGAAACCAAAAGACTTGAGATCAAATCTGTAATCGAATCGCAAAGACAAAATTTAGAAGCGAAAATGAACATAGTAAGTCAACTGGATGAAGACTGTGCTAAAGTTTTTCAACAAAGTGAAGTATTAAAAAGAGATGTTCAAACGTTTGCTGATCACTTGATCAAAACAATTCAAGCAAAAATGCAAAATATAATCACCACAGTGGAAGGCCGAACTAAGAAGTCCATTGAAAGTCTGACAGCAAAAAGGAACGAGATTCAGCAACAAATTAATGTTATTGAATCATCGCTAGAAGAAGCTGATAAACTCTTTCAGAGAAGTACCAATGCTGAAGTTGTTCAGCTTAAAAAAACATTACAAACAATTTTTGAGGGGGTGGATCAGACTGAGGTTGTTGCTCATGACCCTGAAACTCAAGAAGCTTTAGTGTTTATTAAAAATCAGAAAATGCTTGATGTTGTGAACGGAGAAGAAATCGGATCCTTGAAGGATCCTAATGGAACAAAAGCAAGTGAATCAGTGGCTGAAGGTGAAGGACTGAAAGAAGGAACTGTAGCGCGTAAAGCTCAATTCAATTTGATTACAAGGAACGCAGAGAGAAAGCAGTGGTATGATGAACAGGACCGTGTAACCGTAGAGATCAAGGACGAGCAGGGACAAGAATTGGTGACGGAAGTGAAAGTAGAGTACTTGAAAGATGGTACCTACAATGTTAGTTTTTATCCCAGAGTTCAAGGAACATTCAAATTGTACGTTAAAGTAAATGAGGAACATATTCGTTGCAGCCCTTTTACAATAAGCGTAAAACCATTTCATGTAAAACCTGTTTTATGTTTTGGAAAGGAAGGCACCGGTGATGGAATGTTTAAAATTCCTCGAGGTGTGGCAGTGACTGACAAAGACGAAATAGTAGTAGCTGAAGACTTAAACCATCGGGTTCAAGTGTTTGACAGTAATGGTACTTTCTTAAGATCCTTTGGTCACAAAGGTGAAAACGATGGAGAGTTCAGCCGACCTGATGGAATAGCCATTGATAAGGATGGAAAAATGTTTGTAGCAGACTGTGATAACAATAGAGTACAGATCTTTAGTTGGGAGGGGAGGCACCTGGGTTCGTTTGGCGGCAAAGGAAGCCTTGATAGTCCGCTCTCTAATCCTTGGGGTTTATCCTTAGATAGTACTGGTAATGTTATTGTTGCTGATACAGGTAACAAACTGATTAAGATCTTTACCCCGGATGGTAGGTTTGTAATGAAGATAGGTGGGCAGGGTTCTTTGAGTTTACCTGTCCACTGTGTTCAGTGTGGTGAATATTTCATAGTGTCAGACTGAAATGAACACTGTATCAAAGTATTTAACAGGGAGGGGCATTTTCAGTACAAGTTTGGTAAGAGGGGGCAAGGGGACAGGGAATTTAGTCATCCTGGTTATTTGTTAGTGAATGAGTCACAGCATCTGTTTGTCTGTGATCGTAATAATCATAGAGTTCAAGTCTTTGAACTTGACGGAAAATTCGTCGGGAAGTTTGGAACACAAGGCAGCAAGTTAGGAGAATTTAATAAACCCTTGTCAGTGGCAATGCTTAGTAATGGCCGAATTGTTGTCTCTGATGAATTTAATCATCGAATTCAAATATTTGAATGACTATATTTCCTGAAAATATTGGCATAAACATGTTATTCTCCAAATATCAATCTAAATATCCAAGGTAAATTAAGTTAGTCCATTATTTCTGACGGACTCAAAGATTTAGTCCACATACTGTAATTTAAACTGTTTATATAATTTTGCTTGGCCTTAGGAGGGGACACTAGGGAGACACTGGCATGAATTACTAAAAGACTATGTTGACTTAAGTTTGTAAGCTCTTTTTTGTCGCTTTTTTGGGATCGAGACTTTGCGATGGTCAAGGCAACCAGCTATGACAATGTAAATAAAAATATTAAGACTAGAAGCAGTTATGCGTCTAGTTCTACCTTAATTTTAATGAAATATTATAACATGGACAAATTTTGTAAACGTGTATTTTGAGAAACAAGTGTGCTAAATTAGATTTAATATTGCTGTTCAAATAACTTTTATCCAGTGTATTTGTTTTGAAAGCCTCACCAGGGCCGCATTTTGAATAAAGCAGACAGTTACGAAAAAGCAGTTTGCTCGAGCAACTGATAAAACTCTGAGGGTCCAAGTCAGAAGTGGATCAGTCATGTCAAGCAATTTATCGAACTAAATCGCTGTTTTGAATTTTTACCCCAAAACATACCTAATTCTTACTTTCCAGGACAGTTAGGTTTTGTGTAAAACAAGTCACCCATTCACTCCTCCATTTTTCCTCATTTTTTCCCCATCCCACGATTTGGAACTGTTGGGTTTTGAGGACAGGGGCTCGGAGATATAAAACCTTCTCGGAGCAAAGGCAAGAACCAACAACAAACTCAACGCTCGTATAGCGTCAATTCCGGCGGAATTCAAACGCGGGGCACATTAATGGGTTGTGCACCATGCAGCGCTCTTCATGTACGCCTTTCCAATTGAAAAGAAGAAGAATTTCTCTCTTACCCGCGATTTATTTTATCGTTTATTAGGTCAGTAGAGAGATTAAGAGTCATGCTTACGGCAAACGGCAAAGGTCAGATTCATCTGGAGATTTTCTCAGAATAGAAAATAAGCAGATAAAAACTGCGCAGAACAATCCTTATGAATAAAACTGGCGTGAAGCTACTTATTTTTTAGTAGTAGAAGTAACAAAAAGTAACCGACAATTAAGGGAAAAACTTAGTCACGTGGTACAAATTCACGTTTGCCGTTTGGCGCAGACGTGAATCGTAATCTCTTTACTATTTTCTTTTCTCCACGTGTTCTCCTTGCAAACAAACGAATCGGAATTTGCACATGTGTAATCTTTTTCTGTCCCTTGTCATGCACGGTTCGCAATTGTACTTGGGAGGGGTCAGCACTCTAACTAGAAAATTAAATCAGCTCACCTGAATTTTATTTACAATTATAAGATAGGAGATAGGATAGAAGTAACAGCTGCGGCGATAAGATTTGCTTGAAACTGTAACTTGCTGACCGTTTATCTGTGGATGTCTTTTAGTGCTACTTAAGAGTATACAAATAAAAGACGTAACAGCTGCGACGATAAGATTTGCTTGAAACTGTAACTTGCTGACCGTTTATCTGTGGATGTCTTTTAGTGCTACTTAAGAGTATACAAATAAAAGACGTAAAAGGCATTCCTAAGTGTTCTAATGATGATAACGTCGCAGCAAACTACATTGTACCAGAGAGGGAAAGAGAAGTGCAGCCACCCACAGCCTTTTACACACCTCTTCCCACTCTGTCTCCACTCCGGTCATTGTCATTTCACATAACGTAGGAATCCAAGGACCATTTACAAAAATTGTAACTTCAGACGTTACTGGTAATGTCTGGCGTTACAAAGAGTTTGACTGAATGGACTGAACATCAGACGTGAACACTCGTGGCAGAAGTTAAAGATTTGCGCAACTAGACCCTGTTATAAAATATCACTTTTTGGTTGACTAGCATGTTCATGTGAGCAGGAAGAAAGTGTTCTTTTGAATAAAACAAGTTCACCATCTTTTCTTGGGCTTTCTCTTGTCTTTACTCTTGTGCGATTCCTTCATTTTACGCCTAAAAATGAAACGTGTTTTCTGTTACTGAATCATGTCTCTTGCCACGAAAAATACAAAAGGAATGATCATGTCACAAACTGCCAAATTGTACTTAATAACACAATTCACTGCTTTGTAATAGTTATAACTATAATGAGAATCCCTGAAATAAACAGAGATTATCTTCCAACTAAATTGGGAGTTAAACAGTGAGTGCAGATTCTATTCAATTGAGCTTACTTTACAGCCTCCTACGTCAAAATTAGCGGAATAACACGGTATGGCCAGTAGCTTACGCATGCGCCCAGCCATATAACTCGAGCCATGGAGGGAGAGCTGTTTCGCTCTCATTGCGACTCATCTTCATGGCCCCCTGAACACGGCTTTGATCTTAGAGGGGTCCGAAGGCTATGCCATGCTAATGAGCCTTAAAGAGAAGCGTAAGAGCTGTCCATGGTTGCCACTGCTCGGTTGATGTGACTGTCCGCAAGCGTAAGGTACTGGCCATACCGCAGAGTTTAGTAGAGTGTGCTTCCTTGCAGATTTTTATCTTCCTATTGTTTGTAAGAGCCAACTTAAGACCACCAACATCCTCTTAACCCTACAAATGAACAACCTAGACTGGTATGAATCTTGGCCTGAAGATTTTCGTGAAACTGAGTTGGACTTGTGTTACCGAATATTCACAAGCCAAAACTTCAAACATACGAGTTGCGAGGGAGCAAAGCACACGACACTAGTTATCACAAAAAAGGGAAAATATGGCACAAGAAAAGAAGTAACCACCACAAGTCCGCTTGGGATGTGCGGGGAAAAGAAATGTGTATAAAAAAGGCTAAACGACGATATACTATATTGAATAGTTAAAACCACTAAAGCTCTTATTTAGTTGTCTGTTTAGCACGGCCTACTTTGTTGGGGGTCAAATAAAGTCGAAACCACCGCAAGAGGTTTAATTCTCTGAGTTTCCAAACCAGCATTTCCGTCTTTCTCTCCAGCCCTGGAGACCGACAGGGCGCATCGGGTAAAGATGACCGTAAGAAAATCGATTACTTTTTCTTCCTCTCCCTTCTTCCACTCTATTATAGTCCACCTCGATCTGTTTCTTCACTATTTTCCTTAGAAAACCTGTTTGCAGACTACGTATAAATGCACCGCCCTCAGGCCTTGAGTTTTTCCCGTGGCTGACGTAAAAAAGGCTAAGTGTTGCACCCAGGACCTCTCCTGCTGGCAACTTAATAAGCATGCTGGTGTGTCGTGCCCATGCTCCAAATAGTGGGCGCTAATTCGAGGTTGGGCGCTTATTCGAATAAATACGGTAGTCATTCCACTCACTGAACACTTGAAACATTAAACTTGAAGTAACGGATGTGTTTTTATGGTATAATGGCTGATAAAAAGTTCGAATCAGATCACGCAAGTAAACATTATTTTGAATGTGCCCCTCTGTTTATTTTGTTTTCTTTGGTGACAAATCTTGTTTGTTACCGAAGACTGTAGTTCGAGGGCCATCGTAGTTTGATCAAAAATAAAACACAAACAGCAGTGATAAACATTGTGAGTTCTCGCATTAGCATAGGAGACGTCAAGTTTATAAAAATGCGAAAACTCACAATGTTTATCACCGCTGTCTGTGTTTTATTTTTGATCAAACTTTTAATACTTCGAAAGATATACTGTTACCCAGGGTGTTAACACAAAACAACTGCATTATGTCATTGCAAGCTCGACAACAGAGACAAATTTAACCAGAAAGATACAATTATTCAGTCCACGGTTGCTTGTTTTACAGCACTCTGCACAATAAAGTTTTTACAGTGTCGGGCTTCATATAAATGGCTTTTGCCTCTAGTATAGATGATTGACACTTTACTACTAAGGCGCGTCAGAGGCTCTAATACAATACTGCTCTGTGATTGGTTCGAAGGGTCTTTGATTCCGAGAAAAGCTAAAGATAGAAACGTCACAAGACTTGATTGTTGGATGTTGACTACACTCTTCGACACAAAAGGTCATTTGACGCTGTTATTTTGAAGAAGACATGGATCTCAAAACTCTATTTCACAATCTTCGCGAAGAAGTGTCTTGCTCAGTGTGTTCGGACTTATTCACAGATCCTAAACAACTCTCCTGTCTGCACAGTTTTTGCTTCAAGTGTGTAAAACAGTGGTACGAGACGTGCGAAGGCGGAGACGCCATTAAATGCCCGAAATGCCAAACGCTAAGCAGAATACCAGCAAGCGGTGATCTTAAAGATCTTCCAACAAGCTTTTATCTAAATGGCTTTATCGATGTTCTAGCCATCAAAGAATGCAAGAACACTCAACTAACATGCGGAAACTGTGACAAGAAGAGCTCGGAAGCGTCCTATTGTTTCCAGTGTTGCATATTTTATTGCGATGAATGCTTAATGTTTCATAGTAAAATGCGAGACAAAACGGGACATCGTGCTTTGGCGGTAAGAGAATTCCAAGATAAAGACTTCGAGGATGTATTGAAGCGACCAGTATTTTGTTCAAGACAAGGACATCAGAAAGAAGAGCTTAAATACTACTGCAAAGAATGCGAGACGGCTCTTTGCCAAACTTGCGTCATTTTGTATCACGGAGGTCATGTTTTGAAATTGATCGATGAAGAAGCCGAAGCCAAAAGACTCGAGATGAAAGCTGTAATCGAATCGCAAAGACAAAATTTAGAAGCAAAAATGAACATAGTAAGTCAACTGGATGAAGACTGTGCTAAAATGATTCAACAAGGTGACATCATAAAAAGAGATGTTCAAAGGTTTGCTGATAACTTGATCAAAACAATTCAAGCGAAAGTGCAAAATATAATCACTACAGTGGAAAGCCGAACTAAGGAGTCCATTGAAAGTCTGACTGCAAAAAAGAACGAGATTCAGAAACAAATTAATGTTATTGAATCATCGCTAGAAGAAGCTGATAAACTCTTTCAGAGAAGTACCAACGCTGAAGTTGTTCAGCTTAACAAAACATTGCAAACAATTTTTGAGAGGGTGGATCAGACAGAGGTTGTTGCTCATGACCCTGGAACTCAAGAAGCTTTAGTTTTCATGAAAAATAAGAAAATACTTGATGTTGTGAACGGAGAAGATATTGGATCCTTGGAAACACTTTATCGGACAAAAGCAAGTGAATCTCTGGCTGAAGGCGAAGGACTCAAAGAAGGAACTGTAGCGCGTAAAGCTCAATTCAATTTGATCACAAGAAACGCTAAGAGAAAACAGGGGTATGATGAGAAGGACCGTGTCACGGTAGAGTTCAAGGACGAGCAAGGACAAGAATGCGTGACGGAAGTGAAAGTAGAGGACATGAAAAATGGTACCTACAATGTAAGTTTTTATCCCAGAGTTCAAGGTACATTCAAATTGTATATTACGGTTAACGAGGAAAGTATTCGTAGCAGCCCTTTTACAACAAGCGTAAAACCATTTCATGTAAAACCTGTTTTATCTTTTGGAGAGGAAGGCTCGGGTGATGGGATGTTTCATTGTCCTCTGGGGATGGCAGTGAGTGACAAAGACGAAATATTAGTAGCTGACTGTTTCAACCATCGGGTTCAAGTGTTTGACAGTAATGGTACTTTCTTAAGATCCTTTGGTCACAAAGGTGAAAATGCTGGAGAGTTCAACCTCCCTTTTGCAATAGCCACTGATAAGGATAGAAACATTTTCGTAGCAGACCATAGTAACCATGGAGTCCAGATCTTTAGTTGGGAGGGGAGGCACCTGGGTTCATTTGGCGGCCAAGGAAGCCTTGATAGTCAGCTCTCTAACCCTTGGGGTTTATCCTTAGATAGTACTGGTAATGTTATTGTTGCTGATACAGGTAACAAACTGATTAAGATCTTTACCCCGGATGGTAGGTTTGTAAAGAAGATAGGTGGGCAGGGTTCTTTTAGTAATCCTGCTCACTGTGTTCAGTGTGGTGAATATTTCATAGTGTCAGACCGAGGTGAACACTGTATCAAAGTATTTAACAGGGAGGGGCATTTTCAGTACAAGCTTGGTAAGAAGGCCGGGAAAGGGGACGGGGAATTTAGTTGTCCTGGTTATTTGCTACTGAATGATTCACAGCATCTGTTTGTCTGTGATGAAGGGAATCATAGAGTTCAAGTCTTTGAACTTAACGGGAAATTCATCGGGAAGTTTGGGACACAGGGCAGCAAGTTAGGAGCATTCAAATCACCCTTGTCGGTGGCATTGCTTAGTAATGGTCAATTTGTTGTGTCTGATCAAGGTAATCATCGAATTCAAATATTTGAATAAAGTGGCTATTTTTCCTCAACATATTGGCATAAAGGATGTTATTCTCCAAATATCAATCTAAGTATCCAAGCTAAATTAAGTAAGTCCACATTCGTTAATACTATTTTTGAAAGACTTTAAGATTTAGTCCATCCTCTATAATTTAAACTGTTTATATAATTTTGCTTGGCCATAGGAGGGAAAGCTAGGAAGACACTAACATCAAGTGCTAAAAGGCTATGTCGACTTGTGTTTTTAAGCTCATTTTTGTCATTTTTGTGGTCGATAATTTGCGACGGTTAAGGCAACCAGCTATGACAATGTAAGTAAAATTATGAAGACCAAACATTAGCGTTGTCATATATCTTTTTTTACCGTTCATTAAGTGTTGGAAGAGCCAGTGATTTTTTTGATATTTTACTTTTTTTATCGATGAGACACGAAAAGCATGGGCCAGTTTCTGAACAACATAGAGGCAGTTATGCGTCTACTTCTATCTTAATTTTCAGGAAATATTGTAAAATGGACAAATTTTGAAAACGTACAACGTGTATTTCGAAAAACCAAGTGAGCTAAATTAGATTGAAGGTTGTTGTTCAAATTACTTTTTATCCAGTGCATTTGTTTTGAGAGCCTCACCAGGGCCGCATGTTGAGTAGACCAGATAATTACGAACTAGCTGCTTGCTTGAGCAGCTGATAAAGCTCAGTCGAAGTCAGTACTGGATCAGTCATGTCAAGCGATTTAACGAAGTAAATCGCTGTTTTGCCTTGTTACACCAAAACATGCGTGACTCTTACTTTCCTAGGACACCTAATTTTTGCGTAAAACGATTCACCCCGTTCATTCCTCCATTTTTCCCCATCTTCCTCCCGCCCCACGATTTGGAACTGTTCGGTTTTGAGGACAGGGACCCGGAGATATAAAAATCTCTAGGAGCAAAGGCGAGAACCAACAACAAACTCAACGCTCATATAGCGTCACTTCAGGCGGAATTCGAACCCGGGGCACATTGATAGGTGCTGCACCACACATCAGTTTTCACCTACGCTTTCCAATTGAAAAGAAGAAGAATTTCTCTTTTACCCGCGATTTACTTTTTATCGGTTATGAAATCAATATTTTCTTTTCTCCACATGTTCTCCTTGCAAACAAACGAATCGGAATTTGCGCATGTGTAATTTTTTTCTGTCCCTTGTCACGCACGGTTCGCAATAGTACTTGGGACGGGTCAGCACACCAACTAGAAAATTAAAACAGCTCACTGAATTTTATTTACAATTCTAAGATAGGAAATAGGATATGAGTAAAAGCTGCAGCGATAAAATTTGCTTGAAACTCTTGTTTGCTAACCGTTTATCTGCGGATGTATTTGAGCGCCACTTAAGAGTGTCCAACTAAAAGGCGTTAGTAAGTGTTCTAAATGATGATAACGTCGCAGCAAACTCCATTGTACCAGAGAGGGAAAGAGAAGTGCAGCCACCCACACCCTTTTAATCACCCCCACCCCACCCCACTCTGTCTCTTCTCCGGTCATTGTCATTTCACATGACGTAGCAATCCAGGGACCATTTACAAAAATTGTAACTTCAGACGTTACTACTAATGTCTGGCGTTACAAAGAGTTTGACTGAATGGACTGAACATCAGACATGAACATTTGCGGCAGAAGTTAAAGATTTGCGCAACTAGGCCCAGTTATAAAAGATAACTTTTCTGTTGACTGGCATGTTCACGTGAGCAGGAAAGACACGACAACAAGTTTTCTTTCTGCGAAAGTGTTCTTTTGAATAAAACACGTTCACCGTCTTTTCTTGGGCTTTCTCTTGTCTTTCCTCTTATGCGATTCCTTCTTTTTACGCCTAAAAATGAAACGTGTATTGTGTTACTGAATTATGACTCTTGCCACGAAAAATATAAAAGGAATTAACGAGTTACAAACTGTTTATACTTAAAAACACAATTCCCTGCGTTGTAATATTTATAACTACAATGAGAATCGCTGAAGTTACAAGACTTAATTTCCAAACTAATATTGACAAACATTGGATAAAGACCCAGAACCAGGGGTTAAACAGCGAGTACAGATTCTGGCCTCTTGAATTGAGTTAACTTTAAAGACTAAAGTCGTCTTATAACTCCTACGTCAACACAAAAAAATAGGGATAACAACCAGTTTTGCATTTAAGAGTGAATTTTAGATCAGAAAATAAGAAGAACAAAGGACTACTGACCTCTTCTTTCGATCATCATCCGATGACTCCTCGGATGATTCCGAAGATTCGGATGATTCTTCCGAACTCGAACTATCTGCAGAGACAACAAGTAATACCTTTACTTAATCTCAGGCGCATCTAAAAATGCAGCAAAAACTGGAAGTTTAACCAACACGTAGAAGAAAAAAAGAGGGGTACAAAAAGCCGTAGAGACCGTAAATTGTGCCTCAGAACTACCCCCACAGGTGGATTGAGAAAAAGCCAAGGGGGCCACGACCCCACGCCCTAAATTTTGTCTGAGATAGCGTGTTCTGTAAAATCTCTTATAGGACCTAACGTTTTTGACACAGATGCTCTTAGGGTTCTTAATGCAATAAATAAATAGTATCTATTCAGCTGGCCCAGGCTTCCTCTTTTTCAGTTTTCTGTATCTGCTCCTCGACAATAAGGGAAGACGGAGCAGAGGAGACTTTATAGCACAAAACCTTAACCAAAAAAGCTCCCTGAAGTACAGACGCTTAATTTTTGAAAAGCAATGTACTCTCAAGCCGATACCACACAGTGGTACCATGCCTTTTAGCATGGTAAGTTGCAGAGACGTTGAACAAAGTGAAGGTGTATTGATGAGTATGAGAGACACTGGCAAAAGAGCTCTAGTTTAATTGTGGATTGTGGAGATTTTCAATAATAGTGCCAACATTATTCTAACAGCGCTGAAAATGGCGTCAACCGCTCACGGAAGATGGGGTTTGCCTTTACACGATAGCAGAAACAGCCAGTCAAAAGAATTTGCTCGCTCAGACCCACCTTCACCGCTGCTATCATCAGAAGAATCCGAGTCACTGTCACTCGCCGGAGCTCGCTGTTGGGCCATGATCATTTTAGGGGCATTTTTCAAGTGCTCTCTTAGTTCATCCCTGGATCACAACATAGACAATATCAGTATGTTGCAACATCATAGAGAAAACAGCCTTTGTGTTGAGAAAATAATGCAATAATCCATTGCATCAAAAACAACTTGATGGAAAAGCAAATAATATCTCTCCCCCGAGGGGAGGGGAGGGGAAGGAGGTGAAAAGGGGAAGGGCCATTCCTTCCAACCTTTCCTACCCTCTCCTCCCGAGGGCTTAATACTCAGGCCACCACCTCATCTCTTTGATTGTTATGCCGCCTAACTACCGAGTGGGGAACTCAGTATCACTGTCTATCACTCCTCACAATCCTGAAAGGCCAGGCATGACCAGCCTGCATAGCAAGCGTTTCCGTGCGGTTTAGGAGCAAGGAACGAGGACCGAGAGTCAAATGGCACAAGTAAAAGAGCGGGGTGGCTCTCGTTTCATTTCTCGCGCGGCCAAAACCGAGAATCCCGTTCCTCGGTCTTTCTTTGCTCCGAAACCAAACGGAAACGCTTGTTACGCAGGATACCACTTAAATGAATAAATGATGATGATGATGATCATCATCATCATCATCATTAAGCGATGCACGGCTGGTTTCAAAACAATGTAGTTACAGCTCAGTACTCACGTGACTCCACCCAGTCCAATAGAAGTGAAGAAATTGATCGAAAAACGCGTGTTACGAGGATTGTCGCGGGGAAAGATTCCTTCAAAATACTCAGCAAGGAACCTGTCAAGGCAAGAAAGACATTCGATTGTAGAATGAATTACTCTGAAATGAATGAATCAGTAGAATTAGTCTGGTGTAAGATCCCTTCAATAGCACAATGCCCACCTACCGTCGGGTCTTCGTAAATTTAACCTCCCTGTCTGGTTCGTTATCTACCTTCTGCTAGTTTTCCTAAGTGTTTTCACTCTAAAAATAGCATGTGACTGGCTATGAACGAGATCCAAAGAGATTAAGATACTACACCTACCCCTCCCCTAAACCAATACTTTGCCATAAGTGTGATGTTAGTGTTAACGTAAACTGAGGGAAGGGGTGGGTGTGTCTTCCTAGAATCTTATTGTTATGTAGAAGCTACTGATCAATGTACATATTGATGTACTAGCAAGGATAACCAATAGGAAAGTGTAGGATTAAACTAAACACAACTTCAACACTCAAAGTACTTACGGATCTTTCAGACGTTCATTGAGTTTAGGAAGACCCATGTATTCTGCAAGCTCTTGGAATAAGATTTTTATGAAGACTCGACTGGAAAAAAAACCACGCAACATATTCAAAAGAAGAAATGTAAACATATTTACAGAGTCCGGGTGATGCATAGGAGAAGACATTTAGTAAAAAAAGCGAAAGATTTTGCTGGTCTATCTCGAAATTCTGCCTGCCAAACAAAGGCAAACTCATAAATACACAAAAAAATTCTTGACTTGTTAACAATACTTCGGAAAGTTTTGCTCCTTTTCGCTAGACAGTGACGAGCTACGAACAGCATTTTTGATTAGGTCCCCAGAAAGGAAAAGGGTTTAACAAACCTGGAGGAAGTGGTGTCATCTTCATTTAATTTGATACAAGCCAGAACCTAAAATACAGCAACAAAAAGTATTAAGCCTCAAGACTATGCCAAACTGCACAAAAATGAATTTTCGATTAATACCTTACTTTAAGTTTGAAATTATCTTTAACTGAATTTTACAAGAGCTGGAAGAAATGTCTTGTAATAAGTCATTTTACAACAGCAAATCACTTGGTTTCAAGACATGCAACAAAGTAAAAAGCAATGTGGTATTTTCACAAATTTTCAGTAGGCGTGGTTAACTGAGTGATGATTTGAATCTCACCAGGCCTGCTGGGTAGACTTACCGTCCAAGGAATGGCATCTGTAAACAGCAAATGGGCAAAGAACTTGGCAACATTCCTCAACTTGTTTGTTTCAAGGCGATGAATGGTATCATACTAAAGCAAGACCACAAGAACATCTATTAAACACAAAAACGTTGAAGCAAAGTGTAGTACATAAAGTTTTCGCATTTGTGGTTAACATTCAGTCAATCTTTTGCAATCTGGTTGATACAACCTATAGTTCTCCCAGTTTAGACAACATAGTAACCATGTTTTGGGCAGGTCTCAATTCCCATTCTCTAGAATATTGACAATAAAATAATATTAAGTTTTTCCATAGCTGCTCTTCATTAAATTTTGCCACTTCATAACTTGAAGGAGACTGAGCGAAGTTAACTTTTGCAAAGACTTCTGGGATTATTACCGAGGACACGTCGGTCAGCTATTGGGCCATTTTTTCCCTGTCCCTTAGTACTAAAAGTCCCAGAATTCTTTGCAGAAACTTAATTTTTCCCCAGTTTACTTCTTGTGTCTATACTATAGTGGTGAATTTTTTCATATTAGGGCCTCAAATCATTTCATTTTTATCAGTCGTGGATTTACTCACTTGATCATTGAATGCCTTGACATATTCCTCCATGTATGACTTGTTCAGCTGACAGAATCTCTATAACAAAAGGCAAGAGTAGAATTTTAAAATTATCAATAATGTAAAGTGATTTATGTCATCTGATAATTGTTTTATTAGACTGAAATAACATGTGGGTCTTGATTCGCAAGATGAAAACTATTTGCAGTCCACATGTACAGTCAACTCTCTCTAAGACAGACACCTTTGGGACCGGCACTAGCTGTCCGTCTTAGAGAGACGTCCGTCTTATAGAGAGTCAAATAGAGGGAGGAAAGAAAGGCAGGGACCAACTCTAAGTGTCCGTTTTACAGAGGTGTCCGTTAAGAGAGAGTCGACTGTATTTTAAACTGAAACTGCTTTTTGAGAAGACTATTGCATCTCTCCAGGATTACTACTCACTGGCACCAAGAAGCTTCTGCCTGGTTTAAACCTATATTGTACAAGCCTGTCAAAACAGATGTCTCTCATTGCTCATAGTTACTGGGGCATTTCAAGAGAGAGACTCTCTCTCAGGTGGAAGGGAGCAATAAGATTTGGCTGTATTGGTCATTTGGTGGGTTGTAATCTTTCTAAAAGAAACTAACCTGTGCTAACAAACCAAAGAATTTTTCATATGATCTCTGCTGGGCACAACAATCAACGATCATTGTACAGAACTCTGGCTGTGGAAAAAGATGAGAACCACAGTGCATTAAAACAAAAGTCAAAATGCTATTAATCAACTTGTTAAGTAGTTCTCTGCACACTGTTCTTCATAGATGAAATCTTCTTATTACACCAGTGACAGTGGAGAAAGCATTTGACAATCATGAGATCTTATTTGTAGTATTTCACTCCAGCAAAAATATGGCAAACAGTGATAACTCTCTTCACCAAGGCAACACAGAAAGCTGGTAAAATCTACAGCAAAATTTTTCTTTCAAATTGGCACTCTTCCCTGGAATCAATGAGTCCTTTTAATTTGACTAATTTATTATTCTTGTTTTTCCTGTTACCACATTCCCGCTGGCCAATAGCATAGCTCCAACATCCTGTTTAAAAGTCACACACAATGCATAATCCTCTGGCTTTGTTTAGCTCTGATGATAGGCTAGCCAGTGTTCAAAACATCAGCTTCTCAATTCCCCTAGGTTGGCAAATCTACGCGTACTTTATCAACATAGTTGGACAAAACTTATTTTTGCTATTACTATTAGTACCGTAATCATAACTATAACAAAATTCTCAAATCTGATTAGCTATCAACTGCCCTGATTTCAGCCTTAATAGGACAATATTATTATTTAATAGGACAGTGCGCGTCATGCCAAGTAATTGGACTGTACGTGCCATCACACGTGCACTTAAATGGCTTTTTTCACTGCTGGCAAAAAAAAAATGGAATTTCTTCAGTTTTGATTTAACAAAGAGCCTTATATAGGTATCACAAATTTTGTTTAAAAGTTATGATTAATTGGTAACAGGACTGAGTGGAGTCCAATTCAGTCTGTAATCATACTTGTGATTAAACAAATCGGACTCCTGCTATGCGGTCATACGATTTTGTTAATCACTCGTATGATTACAGACCGAATTGGACTCCACTCAGTCCTGTTACCATTACTAACTGTCCATGTATTGTACAGTAACTCACCAATTGCTCATCCTTAATTTGCATTTTCAGAAGCTTGTGAGCACATTCTTCGAAATCCAAACTGCAAAGATAATAAGAAATAATAAGAACAAAAAACACATCCTTCACAATCTCTTCAACAAGAACACTGTTCTAGCTACTACAGATACAGGGTATAGCAAACATGGCAGGCATTCGAAAGAGAGGGGAACTAGTTAGTGCCCCTCACGTTCTTGTGTACCAGTATTCCCCCTTTCTCCGTCAAATCCACGTCATGAAGGCTATGAGATTTATTCTTTACCCCAAGATATCAAATTATAAATAATAGTTACCAGTACCTTATCAGTACTTAATTTCATGATTTTGGCAAGACAGTATTTCGTGGGGTTTTATTTTCGCGATTTTAACAGGTAAACATGAAAAAAGAGCATTAAATCTCCTGATTTAAGCATTCTCAACTTCATTTTTTTTTCGAAAAGCCCGAACCTATACAAAAAATTAGATACACTGGAACAAGCAATGTGTGAAATCTTTGTTATTTAACAACAGAAGACACAAAATGGAGTTTACCAGTAAAGCCAGAAGGCCATTTGAGTTTGTTGATACATATAGTTGCTATTACTCGTCAATTGTTATCCAAATTTTCTATATGGGTATTAAATTTTGCGACATACAGTACCTGGACTGAATTGTGAGATATATTGTTCTTCGCAAGGCAACAAGGTTTGTTTCAGTGTGATCAATAATTTCCATCTTCTCATCTTCTGTTGAAAAAAAAAAGATATATTTCATTTTATTAGAAATAAACGCCACCAGTTCTGTTATAATGGAGTGACCACCATTTCTACATAAACTGCTCTGAGCATTGAGAAGGTTTTGAAAAAAAAACCTGCCTTTGTTTTCATCATCATCCTCATCTTCATCGTCATCCTCGTCATCATCATCATCTGACGATTCGCCTGAGTCACCTTCACCAAGAATGTCTGTGAAGGAAAAACAGCAGAAATGAAAAAGAAATCATTAAATAAAAAATATTATTGAAGAAGTGTAAGAAAGCAAAAACAGGACTTTCTGAAAACCTGTTGGAAAACTCTAAACCTCGCAGTAAAACGTTTGATACTCCAAGTTAAAAATTTTCGGAGACCCACAACTTTTTTGCTAACAAGCAGCTGTTATTATTGTAGATGCTAATCTTCTTTCAAAGTGCTAGACAAAAACTGATGGCTGCAGTAAAACAAGAATTATTAAGGAATACTTGCCTCTCTCTATTTCCTTGTATTTATCTTCATTTTCCAGGAAGTCTGGGTCAAACTTGAATATATCTGCATACAAGCAGGTGATAATTATTAGCACTAACATTAATACAAACATTAAAATCAGTGCAAGAATCCTAAAAGTTCAAAGTCAGTTACTGAAAAGAATTAATAAATTTGACATCTGACTTACTTAGAATATCTTCTGTGTTTCCAGCTTCTTCCAGCCGCAGTAGATGTGTAATTTGATCTTCCTCCTCCACAAGATCCAAATCGGCTGGAACAGCAACATGATCCTATTTAAAATACACAAAATTGAACATCTTGATTTATCATGAATGATATGTAAAAAATTCAGGCTTGAGTGGGGAAAGTCTGAATTTTCAACCATTTAGGTTGTTCATTCTACCGCAAAGATCATGTTCACTTTTATTGATCCACTGTTCAAAATTTTGATTCATCCCATACATTTCAATTTGAAAGGAACGTAACATAATTATGTACCTTGAATCCATCTTTTCTGATTGCAAACATCACTTCGATCATGTACTGGACCCGCTTGTCAATTTCAGCACTGTGAAGAATGTTCCGAAGCCTTTCAAAGACAGCTATGAAGAAAACAATAACAGATGATTAAATCAACAGCAAAACCTTCATGGTCTAACCAAGGATGCTGAGTAAGTTAAACTGCAAATTCTCCAATAAAGTATTTACATGTACAGATGACACAAAAGAAGATGTGATGTGAATTAAGAAACCAATTGTTAATCAAGAGAGGGCCTTTCCAACATAATTTGATTCCCCTAAAATTAAAATTTTATTAGAGGTCAAAAAAATTCATCGCTCTTCTTCTGAGTTCATGAATTATATCACAAGGATTAATTAGTTATCAGTTATTTTATTACCTTAGAGATGGTGTGATTGAACATGCTATTTTTTATTTGATTACTCAGAAAGCACTAATAATCTTGACATTGTAATATTATTTTAGTGAACATACCATGAACACCACGGGATGAGACTTCTGTCAGCTTCATACCAGCTTCTTTTAAGAATCCAATCTATAAAATTAAATATAACATCTTTTTGCTTAAAATAATAAATTTCAACCTCATGTAGTCCAAGAGACTGCCGGCCTTTTAACAGATAATCAAATCTACGTTGTGAAGTAAAATCCTAATAACACTATTACTGTCCAGGGTTTTCATGAAGAATTCTAGTAGCAGGAGAAAGGTGTAACGTTACAGGAGAATATTTTGAAAGAGGCTCCACATCGGACTAAAAAATAGTCACAAGCTACAGCAAGTTAGCTGAAGAATTTTTAATAGTAAATGGAGAATTCTCCGATCTCCGATGCCTAATGAACACCCTGCTCTTCAATCGAATGGAAAAAACTGAGGGTTACAAAAATCAGGGTAAATTTGATGGCATTTGGCTTACAAAGTAAGTTTTAGTTTTAAAAAAATTATACATGTACGTTTGACAAATCTGTGGCTCAAAAACTTAGTATTCCAAAGGATACACCGTAGAACTCACCGCAACCTCCACACTGTCATCTGTGGGTTTGTGGAGAAGCAAGGTCAGAATCTCCAGGGCTAAGATCTCATGTGCCTGCAAAAAAATGTATTTATTTAATAGGTAAGAATAATGCCTGATTTGAAGGCTAAGCTGATGAAGTTGGAGGAGCCATTTTTCTAAAAAAAAAATAACTGGAAGCAATCAAAAATCACTGGGCAGTTTTCCAGAATCTTATAATGATCTGCTATTAATTGGATTCTTTGGTAAAAAAAAAAAAAACAAAATCAGCCATGAATAGATACTGTAGTGTAGAACATACACTGACGACTGACAACTGTGGGAGAACTAAAGCCAGCTACATTTAAAATACACTGTAATATTTCTGAAAAGGTTAAAAATATATAGTAAAAAATAACTTTATGAAAATATAAAATAAATAAATGAATAATAATAGTAATAAAAAGAAACACCCTGAAGAGTACTCACCACTTGCTGATTGACAAGATGAGCGATGAACCTTGTGGAAGATAAACAAACAGCCTACATGCAGGGCACAAATAAAAGCATGATAAGAGATAAGGAGACAGGTTGAAGTGCTGCATAACAATAATCTAATCTAGCTAATAAAATAATTGACCTTGGTTTTTATGCAACTGTTACACTGCATGTACCGTACATGTAATTATGGATCATAACATTGTCAAAGTGTTGTAGAAACACAAGCCATAACAGTGGGTAAATTACAAGAAACATTTATTTCTTTGTTTGATTGTTTGTTTTGGTTAGTGCTTTCTCCATATCGTTCTACAGCTTCTAAGCAGAACAGAACTGTTCCACCAGAACATTCTACAATATTTTCCTAGTCACAATGCATGCCATCTTATACATTGTATGAACTTTTCCTCCTGGAACTTGGAACTTCAAGAGTTACATGAAATCACATTCAAGACAACTTTACATGTTAAGTAGTACAGTTTGTATGTTGTAAATGTTGTGGTTCAATTTTATCCTTGGTTTAAATTTTATTTCCCTTTGTTTTTGGGTATGGTAATGTATGATAATGAGTTTGAAACAAAGGAAAATAAAATTTAAACCGAGGATAAAATTGAACCACAACATAAATATAGAAAAATAACAAATCAGCACCTTATCATTTCTTCGGTATGCCCGTCGAAACAGCAGAATCAGACGTCGAAGAAGAAGTTCTCCATTTTTTGGAAACTGATGACAAAAAAAATTGGCATAGTTAAATGTAGACTCATTTACTATTTTTGAAAGTACAACAAAGGCTTACTACTGATTTTTTTCTAGCACGGACAAACCTTTGTGTTGAGGATGGCAACAAGTGCGGCATAAACATGAGTGAATGTTGGAGAAGCTGCTTGAGCTCGCATGATTGACTGACACAGCACACCTCTGCAACAAAACCAAGAACAAAATCCCTTGTAGATTGGAGTAAATGCTGGCATAATTTGTGCAGTCATTAACATTCCAAAAAAGACGGAACTACTTGTCTGTCAAGCTCGAAAAAATCATTCTAATATACCTAATATTCCTTATAATATCATGTGTGGTTTAAGCATTCACTTTGTGACTGAATATTGAATCACTTGCATGGATGTAATGGAGAACTTAATAATTTGCTGGGAAATAATATTATTTTATTAATTATCAATCATTTTAATTATTTTATGCTCAATCCCTACCTTCCTCGTACAATGTTCTCCTGAAAAAGCTCTCTTACAATGTTACCAATATTTGATGTGTTAACCTACAATAATAACAAAAAAAATTCAGAACCAGTTGAGACCTATCAAATAATCCTCAAAACTAGGAATCATAATCTTAAGTAAATGGGGCTGTCACTGAGATTTCAAGTTGCTGGTTAAATACAACAAGTAGGCAGGGAATCAAACAGCTAGGGATTTCTTTTGGTTCCATGAAAGTAGCCAGCAACCATGCACTGTAGTTAGGAAAAGCCTGATCCCCGCCTCTTAATGAAATTAAAGCCCTGAGTAAATCTAATATTATTAAGACAAAACTGCATACTGATGATGGAGTACAAGAGGGAGCTGGGGAAAAGCAAGTTCCACACTACACGTGTGAACCAGGTAAAGCTCCAGAGATATGGGCAGAGCCTCTTGGCTCATGTGTACCTTTATCTTATCTTACTCTTTTAAAATACAGTTTAGTACTAACCTTGTTAACAAGACCATTGATGCTTTTCTTTAATGCTTCCCAACTGAGTCTCTGATAAGCTTCACTGAAAAAAAAAATGATGAACACTAAATACATGGACTGGTATGTCACAATTAACTGTTAGAAAAACAGTTATAATCAGTGTAAAAATAGATGTACAGTGTATGCACTAGTTGTCAGTGAAACCTGTATTAGGCTAACCTAGATTTCCATGACACCCTGTATTAAAATATGGACAAGATGGACAGTAAAGCGCTAAATGATCCTTTTAATACATCTTTTTTGTTGGTAAAACCAGTGCAGCAAGCTCAACTTTAAGCAAAGTTGGATTTAATTGTGACCTAAATTTACAAAAATAATGGACACCAGACATAATTAAGATACTGATTGCCATATACTCTTCACATATGAGAGGTTTTGTTTCAAAATTGTCAAAACCAAAATGGTTGTTCAATTTTTGCAGGCCAAACCCTTGAATTGAAAAGCACCCGGGAATAATGGTTGAGGGATAAAGACCAAACAAACAACTGCCCTTGACCCTCCAGGTTGCCTGTTGAGCTAGGGAGTAAACATCCACCCAACCTCATAAAACTATGTTGGCTAACAACCCAGCCAAGAAATTCAAGCATTTTGCAGGGCTGAGGAACGACTCAGCCAAACTATTCTTTAATGATATCAAATTTTGGTAGGTATTTGGGAAAAGAATTCCCAAAATGAGAACATTCAATGGCGTCCTGTGTGCCACTAACTGCAGAAAACCTGAATTGTATGATGATGATCATGGTGGCCCAATTAAAGGTGCTAGGTTATCAATTTAAGACGAAATCCATAAGGAAATTGAGTAATTTTAATTTTCAATGGATAAAACCTTGCGCCAGAATAATTTTATTTAAACAATATCCCTGGCCATTTTTTAAAATTTTCACGGACTATAGACGTAATTAGTTATCTGTAATAACACCAAAGAAAATTTCTCGTGAGAGCCCGAGAAATATTATGTCAAATTTCACAACATGACATCTTGCACGTGAAATTTTCAGAATTTTACCAGTGCTTTCACAATTCTTGCGCCCACTGAAAATTAAAATTACTCAATTTTCTGATGGATTCCATCTTAACCATTTCAATATGATTATTATTACCTCCTAAATACTCACCTACTCTTGTCCTCAATACTCTGTTGCATCATTTTGAGTCTTGCTGGGGGAATATATGCACCTCCTGAAAAAATTAATAACGCAATAAAGATCACAAAATATACCACGCAAAAAGATTCAAGAGTCAAACTTATGACAGGGCTCGAACTTAACTTTTGAACTTAATAGTCAAATGGCTAGTACATTCTCAGGCTTTACTAGCCATAAACGTGTTTCTACTAGTCTAGGCACTTCTGTACAGCATAAAATAAAATAAAAATGTCAAAAATCCTGTTGCTATCAAACGTTAATAAAAACTGCATATCGATGACAATCGCGCGTGGACTGTGATCGTAGATTTACATTTCAAGATGGCGGACATTTGCTTTTTTGGCTAGCTTTGCATCATAGGTACGGCTTGGCCCATGCTCCCTGGTTGTACAAAATTTCAAGATGGCAGCGAATAAACACGAAACTGAAAACCGAATTAACAAATATTATTCTTATGTAGAATTACTTTTCTTTCTTTTATTTATGCCAGTTGTTAATGGGGGAATGAAATAAGAGGTTACTAGAAGGTGCGGATCAACTGGGAAAATGTTGAAAACATTTCAAGGCTTATGTTGTTTACAGGGGCGAAAATTAACTAGCCAAGATGGCTAGTAAGTGAGCTAAATCCACTAGCCAAAAATCAAAATCTACTGGTATTTGGCTAGTAGACCACCGCCAAGTTCGAGCCCTGTATGATATGGCTAAAAGCATTCACCAGTTTTTGGACAAAGAAAATACTTTCATGGGCAAGTGAAGCTATCAATAATATTATTTTTCAACCTAAGGTTGGGTTTAAAAAGTGTACAGTTCATGTACAAGAACACCTGAGAAAGTAACAGGAACGGCACTTATAAAATAGTGTCACCCTCTCTTAATAACATTAGTTTGGTTGGGTTTTAAACCAGCACAGACTTACTTTAAAACAATATTGCTGACTGGCTATCAACTGCCCTGATTTCAGCACTAACACAGTGTAATAGGACAGTGCGTGTCTTAGCACACGGGCACTTAAATGGTTTTTTCTTTCACTGCTAGCAGAAAAACTCTTGGAATTTCTTGTGTTTTAAGTTTAAAAAAGCCTAAAATATCACAAATAGTTTGTTATAGTTATGATCAATTGGTAACAGAACTTTGTGTCATCTAATTCAGTCTATACTTGGGATTAAACAAATTGGACTCCCGCTACACGGTTGTCCGATTTTGTTAATTACTCATAAGATTACCAGGGTGCAAAGAAAGTCAGTTTTACAGCCTGCCATTCGGGCAAGCTGTAGCTAGCATGTACTAGCCCACGAGTCATTTCAACTAGCCCCAAAACCCTTTTCGATTAGCAGGATTGATTACGATCCGTCTGTAATTTGAATTTCCCCAAAAAATTCACTTGCCCATCGGGCAAGTTCAGAACAGAATTCACTAGCCTGAAACCAAAATCCACTAGCCCACGACTTTCTTTGTACGCTGATTACAGACTCAGTCCTATTACACTTTGTATCAATGTTATTAATCAGCCAATACCGAGATAAAATAATCACAAGAATCTCTACCTGTTCTTGTTAGAAGTGGATTGTTTGGATCCACCTTCTTTTTAGCAGTCTTCACACCCTGCTCTGTCTTATCTTCTTTTTCTCCAGCTTTCTGATCTTCTTCACCCCTTGTTCTGCTGCTATCATGTGCATCATCTCGCTCCTGATCCTCTACAGGACTACGTCTATTTCTCCTATGATCCCTCTCTTCATCTGAGGGAGTATTGCGCCGCCTTCTTTCAGGATGATCATCATGTTCTCTTCTTCTTCTTCTTCTCTCCCTTTCTCTATCATCGTCATCATCATCACTCCTGTATCTTCTTCTTCTGTGTCTCTCTCGGTCTCTGTGTCGATCTTTTCTCCTATCAGAATTTCTCTCATCCTCACTATCACTTTGTTGTGTCCTTCTTGGGTGTCTTCTGTCCTCTTCCTTATCGTCATCACTTTTATTTCTGTTTTCCTTATCTTCTCTTCTTCGTCTCCTGGTACAGTGGCGAAACAACAAGAAGCACAAAGGACAATGATTATTGGACAAGGATGAGCAAAATATCGTGATTTGTCAGTGGCGAGCACATCACTTCTATGTCGATAGAGGATGTATTGAGGAGAAAAATTTTATTAGAATTAAGATCATTGACAAAGGGTTAACTATGACTTAACTTACATTAACTACTTAATTCTATTCATACCTATCATAGTCACTTCCAGACTTGTCTTCGTTATTTCTTCTCTTATCACGACGTTCTCTTGAACTGAAAAATTAATGTTAATAAAGGAATCTTTATTTCCAAAGTAAACGCATGGGTTACTTTTGTCGATTTCCACCAATCAGATCATTGCCTCCTCAAATTGAGAAGGCCGCATGAATTAATTTCTTTGAAGCAGATTTCAAGTGGTAGATGCGAAGGTATTGTTTGATGAGGAGTGTGATCGTGATTGGAAGCGTTTTAAGGTTAAAAACCTGAAACATTGTGTGAAAATTACAAACCTTTTGTGGGTAGTAGTATAAACAAATAATAGCATGATTTGTACATGATATTTGGCATAAATACCACTCGTGATAATATTATTTCAAAATTGTCTCAAATTTCACTCGCCGAATTACGCATAACAGTTTTGAAATATCACTTGTGGTATTTATACCAAATATCACTACAAATCATGCTGTTACCTATACTAATTTAAGCTTACGATAATTAAGCATGCTTAGTTATTAGGTTATTAAATCTTACTATCTCTCCTGTGGTGATCTTGATCTTGATCTAGATCTAGACCTCTGAGCAGTTCCACCAACGGGCGAATTCGAATGTCTAACAGACTTAAACAGACAACACGAAATACGTTAAAGCCTTACTGATTCTCTCGGGACCATACAAGCGAAAGACAAATTTACAAAAGCTAGTAACCATAATTATTTATAAGCTGAATGGACTCATAAGCTTATAATCACAATTGAAAAAGTCTTAAATAGGTGATCAACAAATCTGAATTATATCTCGAAGATATATAAAAAGGGAAAGGAACTATTGTCGTCAGACAACGGAAAAGAGATTTCTGAAATCTTTCAAGATTTAAGCGAACAACTCAAACTACAACATCTCCCATTTTCGACCTCTGCACAAGGCTTAAACAAGCTTACGTACCTGAACTACGCTTCGTATTCTGGAGTGTTCCACAGCCGCCATTACCTCTATTACTTATTGACAGATTCTTAGGAGATCCTATACGAAATTACATTAAAAAACTACACATCATTCCACGTATTTTAAGTTGTAGTAGCTACTTTTCATCCAAGACGGTCAAGAGCGCATCTGAAATGTAACCGCGCCAGATCATTTTCTCGGTTTAGCCTGGGCTCCACATTACAGAACTTCCAAAGTTCCCCCGGGGCGCGGAGGGGTAAGGTGCAGGGGGTAATGCAGGGGGTACTCCTGATTTCAAGTGACGAGGATGATCGAATGGGGGCATAAATCAAAACCTAAAAAACATTCTTGGGATTTCACCAAAAACCCCTAAAAAATCCCATGCCCGAAGCCTTAAAAATTTCCAGAAAGCGTGAAAAATAACAACATTAGAAATCAAATCTTCAGATTGTTTTGTATAGCCAAAAATATCCCAACTTAAATCAAGCCGCCCCCCAAAAAACTTGCCAAATTTTCCCACCCCCCAAAATTCCCGGAATCGAAAATTTCAAACCCAAAAATAATTCTTCAATCATCCCCATCGCTTGAAATCCAGAGTTAACCCCCTGGGCCAAGCTGTTCAAAGCTGGGTTAAGATAACCCAGGGTTAGTGCGAGATTGGAATTCAGATTTGACAGCTTAGAAAGCATTTCAGTTTTAATTCTTTTGTCTCAGGTTGATGATTGGAAGCTCTAAAAATATCAGAGAAAATTATCCAAGAAAGTGCTTTTGAGAACAAGAAAAAGAAACCAGGGTTGAATTTAACCCCAGGTTAAGTGCTAATCGGCCCTCGAACAACTGGGCACTGTTCCCTAACGATATCACTTTTGTTCCTGAAAACTGAGGAGGAGGCCCGGGGGAGGAGGTGGGATTAAGAGTTAAGGTCTCTATAAAATCTACAACAGAAAAGTACGGATCTCTCTTCCACAGAGGCTGCAGAGGCTACCCGCTAGGTATTCCAAACAAAAAATATATAAATTTAAAAGAGTAAGTGTGCGATGGACAATGGTAAGAGACACCCGACAGTTTTTATCCTTAAACAGTTCATTCTCTTACCATGATTATATTGATATTGTTCCTGTGTAGTTATGCTCACATGAATAAGCAGGATGCAATAAATTCAGCCAAGAAGCATGGCCTAGGGAAGGGGGGGGGGGGTGCTTATCAAATATTTTTTTTCAGGCATTTAACATGTTGTACCCAAGCTAAAACTATATCGCATTCTCTCATGTTAAGGATATGATCAAAATGCCCATCAGAAAAAGAACACCAACAGAATTAGACATTCTCAAACTTCCTTTTTTTATTTTTATACTTACATTAACTCCTAGCTTATTTCTACCAGAAGTTTTTTAGACTTCTTTTTAATATGCAATATATTGCATAAAGTATATTTCTGTACTAGATAGAAGTATCTAATTTAAGTAGCTATCATGACATGAAACCATACAGGGAATTATGACCATCATAGCTACAATAGCTTATTTATATCTGCCATATCTAAGTGCTTTTAATGTGAGCCTGAGTGACACTAGCCCACAGAAATCTTCAATCTCAAGCCAGTAAATTATGCTTAATGCACACCAATTCTTTACACCTGAGGAGAAAATTAACATCTCTTGCAGTATTAATGATGACAAAGTTTCATTATGACTTAAATTATTTTGAAGAATTCATCTAAATCTTCTGCAGTTTTTATCTTCACCTCGCAAGACAATGTCTCCATAGAAAATAGTTGGTCTGTGAACGGGAGCTCAAAGGCAGGAAAAGGTATAATTGTCATTAAGAAGTCACTTTGATCACAGATGTAGAGATGTGTTATTGTTAAGTTGTTAGACTGCTTTTAGACTGACTAAGACCCAATTTGTGCAGTTCTAAATAACACGTTATAAAAAATATGTAAATATCTGCAATGCATTTATAAATATTACAATACTATGAGGTAAGAATAAAAAATATTATCATGCAGCTCCCAGTATTCTATTATCTTGAGAAGAAAGAAGATGCAGTAAAGTTTATTTATTTGCTAATTGTTTTGCCGTGATTTCTGACCTTCCCTTATGTGAAATAAATGTGATTCATTCTTCTTGTACTAAAGAACAGACTATAGCAACGAGCAAAACAAGCATTTGTCTTCATTTGTCAACTACGGTTTTGAGGCAAATATAACCTGATAGCTGTGGCCAGTGTGGCCAGAAGGTTTTGTTACTGTCTCCATGGCAACATCCACAAACCCTCCTTCTTTAAGTTTTTCTATATACAGCTCTGGACGCCAGTTGGGTCCATATTTTAAAAATCCTTTACGTGTGCTTGTCAGTAATGCATCATAAAAAAGTCCAGTCAACATGATTCCTCCTGGTTTTAAGACCCTCTTCATCTCTGAAATGCCTTGTTCAAGACTTGGCCAAAAATAATAGCAATTTGTGTGGAACACACTGTTAAACAAGTCATCTTCATAAGGAAGTTCCATAGCACTGCCCAAACGGATTTCTAGTTTCCCTCTTTTTATTGCTTCTTTAAAACGCCTCTGTGCACTCTCAACCTGAAAATGTTTTTTCAAGGCAAAATAAACATAATCAAAACATTATAAACTCAAGCATCAATATCATCAGGCAGGGAATGATCCAAAATAACTTACGAAACCTTGCAAAATGAATATACTCTAAAGGACAACAACAACAATGTATTTATTTAATAAACTCTAACGTTTACAATTACTTTATGCCACGCAAATAGCTTATAAATGCTAATCTTGGCAGGAAAAAAACTTTAAATTATGGAAAAAAAGGAAAAGAAAAGAAATACAAATAACATACAGAAAGAAACACCTTACATAAAAATAACATGTATTACCCATAAAGAGTTAGTCTCCCTTGCAGCCGTTTTTAGTGTTGTCGTGCAATTCTCCTCAAGGAGGGTTGCGTGACGACGGTTGTGAGGGAGATTAATATAGAGTCTGTGGTTGAAAAAAAAAATGCCATTAAAAAATAATTTTGTAAGCTAATAAGATAAATAAAAAAAATTCTGCTTTAAGTGATATCAAAAGTTTAAGAGGGCCGCCTAGATGGAGTTTACTGTTTTGTTACTGTGATTGCATGGGCCATTCTAGATACTATAATTGAGTCTTCAATAAAAATAAAAAGCAAAACTACTAAAGTAAGGTTACAGGATGATGAATTTGCCATTAACCGGCAGAAGGAGCCTTTTGTGATCTCAGCTTGTACTTTTGAAGTCATGGGGTCTTTTTTAGTTTGTTATGTTAACTGTTACAGCAAGTTTTTTACTGTATATAAGCTGTTATTAACGGCTATAATTTTAGTGTTGGCTGATATGCTGACACCCCATCCAGGGAGGGGTATCTGAATATAGATGGGTTAAGGTGGGCTGCCGGCAGACGGAGGGGCAAAGGAACAGACAGATGGACGGATGGACGGATGGACGGATGGACGGAAGGATGGACCGAAAATTAGTTGACAGAAAGAAGTGGTTATTAAAAGACACTCATCACAGTACTATGACCGAATTGTAAAGGTTTACAAAGCTGAATAAAATGATAGTAACTGCAATCTTATGATCGGGTGACTAAGGTTAACAACAACAAATTACAAATACAAACTTAGTTTTGCAATGTGAAACAGCGAAATGCCAGTTTTGTCTTAAATTTATGGAATATGAGTACTGCTATTAAACGGTAAATAAAATTTACAAATAAAAAATATCCAGTTGGGTGCTCTCCAGTATCTTCAAAAAATGGTGGAACAATATAGCTCTGCCCTGCACTGTTATCTTGTAGTATTTTTAAATTTTAAATCGTCATGTTTATTTATAGATAGTTCTAAACATTTTAATTACAAATTATTGAGGGCCACTAGTTCATCAGTTTTTTCTGTCGTGTGCTACTCTCATTAAATAAAGTTGTTACTTGCTTACTTTACTTACTAACTGCACAGATCTAATGCAGCTAACACAATTAACTATTGCAGAAGCGGCTTATGCAAACTTAATAAACACAAAACTAATACTTTATTGTATACATATCTTTATGTCAAAAAAGTAGATGGAGAGGGGGATAACCCTAATCTTGTACCCAGATCTCTTATAACCCCCTCTCGTCTCGCCAGTTTCCCCTCAATAAACAGTTCACTTGAGTTCAATACTTACTATTTGCTCAGAAATGTCAATGCCATACACTTTACCAGAGGAGTGCTCCACTTTTTCCAGAGCAGCATTTAACCCAATACCAGGGCCAAAACCAATTTCAAGAACTTTGTGATCAGGCTGGATGTTCAAATGCTTTACAGTTTCATTTTCCAAACTTGCGTTTCCCTTTCCAAGAATAATCTGCAAGTCAGAGACACAATGAATTAAAGCCTGTACTTTTCAATAAAAAATGATATTTGCCACTTCTTTACAGTCATCATGGCAGATTAATGATCGACCCTGTCAGGGTAAATTCCAACAGGGGACATGGCCTTGAGACAGGGCCCTAAGACAGCAGAAATAGCGACAAACAACACAAAGATTGGTTGAAAGCGACATAGCTTCCTCTTCAATATGCAAAACGACAGGTTTTGAAACTCAGACTAGGGAAGTTCACTTTCAATTTTCCACATCTATTAACAGCTGGCAATGTTAATCCAGATACAAAATAATGTACCCAGATAATAACCCTTTACAATACTATGGGACAAAGCCTTGCATAATATAGCATTCAAACATTTCTTTTCTATGGTTTCTAACGTGATGCTAAGTAGTAGCAGGTTCAAGAGATTATACATGAAACTAAAACCTCATCTGAGAAATAATTGTCAATGAAAATTTTTCATAAAAATGCATCTGAACAAGATCATAAACTACCTTGGTTATTATTAAATTGTTAAGTGACAAAATACTCCAATAAATATTAAAACTTGCACACCATGATGAAGATCATCAAATGCACATCAGGCCTTCTGACGAAGGGTTATTTATTTTTTTATTCCTTATGGAATACGTGATCAGATGCAATTTACGATCATTATTCTCACAAATTTTGTGAGAAATCACACAATCGCATAAAATCAGAAGCCCTGATCCATCACGATACAACGCTAGATGGAGACATAATAGAGAGACTTTAGGGATCGAATTACATTTTTGATAGTAAATGGCAGATTCAAGTTGACTGTATCTCAGATTAGGAAATGAACAGCTAAAACTGTCTGATATACATCTCTCAAACCATATCATAAAGCAGAGTCTAAAGCTTCTTTCAATGCTTAAACTAAATGACTCAACACCATCCTTGTAAAAGTACATCATAATACCTTCTACAAAAGACAAGGAAATTACCGTAGTTAATGTTTGATCTTCAATGTAACGATTATAATAACTATTACAGCTTTAAATTCTGTTTGTAAAAATTTTTTTAGATATACTTCCTTGGGGTACTCATGGGAATTCTTGGTGGGGGTGTGGCTGCCTGCTTCCTCAAATCCTCACCCAATTTCAGACCGAAAAATGTAATTTTCCACACCCGTTTTCAGACTAGACCTCTAAAATCCATGCCCGTTTTCAGACCTGGCCTTTTAATAGGCACAAATTATGTCATCATTACTTGGCCATTAGAGCACAAACAAAAAATTATTCAAATCCATTTTCGCATGTTTTCTCTTTCTTTCTTACTCATTTGGAAATGAAACGCTAAATACATTCACGCACTCTGTAGTTCCCTCGAAAACCATACCTGATTCCAGGCCAAAAACGGCAAAGTGTATACCCATTTTCAGACCAAAACGGCGCAATGGGGCGGCACATATCTATATGGCTTATATAATGAAGTACCCCTCACCTCTGACCCCCCCCCCCCCCCACCTCCCCTTTACGACCTTTGCTACTAATATAGTTTCTAAAGGAGCGGTCATTCCAAAAGCGAACACTTTTTTTGCATCGATTGAAAACTTTTTCCGCATCGATTGAATTCCATATCAATATAAGTTGAAACTGTTTCCTGTCATCTGTTGCTTGCGAAGCATGGCAAGGATGGACATAGATTGAAACTTGAAAAAGTTGGCCGGCCCAACTTTAATTCAAGTTTTAAAGCTATATATGCCAACAAAAATCACCAGAAATTTATTACAGTTGTTACCTGAGTTGTTTCGTTAGCTCTCGCGTACAAATGTCTGTGATATCTCCAACTTTTCAGAGATCGAAACTTACCCTGACTAAGTGTCCCACGAGACCTTTGGGTTCCCGAAGATTTCTTGCAATCAAATCGACAACTCTAGCTTTCAGGTCGGTCATTTGCCAAATAAGGGTTACTACTACAACTAAAGCAACTACAAAGTACCACATTGCGCCAACTATAACCTCGCAAGTTGTACTGATGAGACAACATCGACGGAATCGACGGGCATGTATGTCTCAAGACATTATTCGTAAGGGTTACATGAAGTAGCGAGCCAAATAAGACAAATCAAAGCTCTACGAACGGGACGGTGGGGGGGACGGGGGACGGGGGGACGGGGGACGGGGGGACGGACGGGGTGGGGGCTGGCTCTACTATTAGACAAGAAGTGAAAAATATCTTGAAGTGAAATCTAATGACAGAACTTGAAAAAAAGCAATTTAATTTTCCCGCAATTTAAACAAAACATTGGCCAAACTTCTTTTAATAGATAAGTAAGTGCTAGTGTCTTTTCCATAATAAATATTCCTTTATAAGCTACGCTCATGGTGTACACTGTACTACTGTACTGTTTCACTTATTAGGTTTGCATCTTTTTCCTTTTAATTAAGTTTCTTTCCTTTACGAATTTAGTTAGTTTATTCTTTAATATATATTATTTTCAGCCCGTTGTGAAAATAGAAAATAGTTTTGAATAGTTAAATGAACACTTATTTATAAATCTCCACTGTGTGTGTTTTTTTAAACACACATATGCTGTTGTAAATATTCACCACCTTTTACAAATTTTGTAAATACCTACACATTATAACACTATGAGGTGATAATTCTCAGTTCCTAGGTCGAACCTTTCTCTACAGACTTGTGAAAGATACATGTTGTGGTGGAGTTTGTATAACTTGTTTGTTTTGCTGTGTTTTCAGTCCTGAATTTTCGTATGTAAAATAAATGCAATTCTTCTGGTTCGATCAAAACCAACTTCTGTGATCTACGGTTTTGAGGCAAATATAACCTGATAGCTGTGCCAGAAGGTTTTGTTACTGTCTCCATGGCAACATCCACAAACCCTCCTTCCTTAAGTTTTTCTATATACGGCTCAGGACGCCAGTTAGGTCCATATTTAAAAAATCCTTTACTTGAAAATGACTTTAGTTTGTCATGAACAAGCCCAGTCAACATGATTCCTCCTGGTTTTAAGACCCTCTTCACCTCTGAAATGCCTTGATCAAGACTTGGCCAAAAATAATAACAATTTGTGTGGAACACACTGTTAAAAAAGTTTTCTGTAAAAGGAAGTTCCATAGCACTGCCCAAATGGATTTCCAGTTTCTGCCTTTCTATTGCATCTTTAAAATGCGTTTGTGCATGGTCAACCTGAAAGAAAAAAGCAAAATATGAACAGA